ATCCATGGAATTCGGGGATGGATCCCATAAATCCACCATAAAGTCACCATTTCTGTTGCTTAAATCCCATTAAGACCCATTAACATATTTATAGAATTAGTATAGATCTTATCAAATAACCATGAAATCACCATCAAATCACCATTCAGTCTCATGATAATCCCATAGAATCACAATCAACTTAATTCTAACATCCCAAAGAATCACCATGGATTTTCCACAGAAATCCCACAGAATCTCCATGAAGTCACCCATGAAATCATCTTCTGAATGGAGCTGTTGTTTGGGCCCTCCATCGCAGAAATTGAGGTGGGTCAATCTGTCTATGATCTCAGAGAGGTGGAACCGATCAGCTACTAATGGATGGGGATGGGCCGGATGGGCCTTAGGGCCTTGGCTGGTGGAGGCCTTGGTTGAAAAATGGTGGATTTACCCTCTGGTAATTTAACATAGCTATGGAAAATCACAATTTTTAATGGGAAAATCCACTATAAATGGCAATTTTCAATAGCTTTTTGTATGTTTACCAGAGGGTAACATGATTTAACCATCAAAGACCATGAAAAATGAGGCTTGAATCATCAACCATGGTGGCTGAATGAACATTCTAAGTCCTCGGATTTGATCGAGAAAAAACACACTGGATTTGAGCAACCACAATTGGAATTTTGCTGAGTCGAAATGTGGATGACCCTCTGGTTATGTCAAAATAGCTATTGAAAATGGCCCAGTCGAAATCGTGGGATTTTCCCAGCTAAATAGCATGGTGGATCTTTCCATAGTTATGTTAACGTTTACCAGGCCGGGTAAATCCCATTAAATCCCATTAAACCACCATAAATTCCCATGAATTCCCAGGACATCACCAGATATATTTCTTCAATTTATGTATCACTATGGTATGTATCATAAATTCCCATGAATTCCCATGAATTCCCAGGAAAATCACTTTGTTAGGGTAAGTATGGTGAAGTTTCACTGGCCATGGTTGCATAGTCTCCGCCTGAAGAAAAAATCACTGGGCTACGTCTCCGAAATGCAGGATGAACAGCTAGCGCTGGCCATGCAGAAGGGGTCACCCAGTGTTGGTTCGTCTTTGGAGAGTCTCAGTGGGTGTCGTCGAACATGGCGAAAGCAGGGCTAGCAGCTAGAAATCCCCCTAAGAAATAGATGGTTTACCTATTAAAAATGGTGATTTTCCATGGCATAACTATGGAAAGATCCACCATGCTATTAATGGGAAAATCCACGATTTCTATGGCCATTTTCAATAGCTATATGTTAGTTTACCAGAGGCTAGAAATCCCCCTAAGAAATGGAGGTTTTGATGGGAACATCATTCATAACATGGGACATTTTTTCGATTGCCACGTTTGTTTTTTTTGCCGGAGGGGAATAGGAATGACATGATTTTGGGATTATTTTCTTGTGGACCGTTTGGGGAATTCTGCAAAGAATTCTGCAGTCATATAAGTCATTAGATAAATAATATAATATAATATAATATAATATTATATTAATATAATATAATATAATCAGAATATATATATATACATATGAATATCCCATTACATTATGTATGTTATATAATGGGACAGATGATTGCATGTGTTGATAAACCAATCATTTTAGGGTGACATTGTTTGGTGGTATGTAGTGATATAGTATAGCCATCAATATGATATGTACGTGTGTCTGAACATGAGTTAGAACAAAAACGCAATTTTAAATGGGGAACAAGTTGACAATCCATATTTTCAGACAAACCCATCTTTTGGGTACATTATATATTTAAATCTGATGGGGAACAACAACCAACCATTTCATGTCTTTTGTCACCAACGGCATGCCATGTGGGTTTGCCTCCGGTAGTTTAGCATATTTTCATAGAAAGTCAGATTTTTTTTAGATCTAAATCAACTGTAAATGGGTTGTTTTTCATAGCCAGTTACCCTCCAGTAAATAAACATAGACCCTGGCAGATTAGTTAGGTTGGAAGATGAGTTTCCATTAAAACTAGGCTATTTTCAGGGTCAACAAGTTAATTTACCAGAGGGTAAATGATCATAGAAAGTATCTATCTGGAAGATGCTTCTCAATGAGGCCATCGGAAAAGTCATGGCCGACGAACAACGGCCACAGCGAGCCCTAAATATATGGCTCAGCAAATCTGGTGATGTATGGTATGAAAGAGCTCATTTTTAGGGGACCGTGATACTTCTGGGATTCTGGGGAAGTCTCCAAACATCCAAGGCTAAAAATCATATTTTCCCCAAAGTGCCAGAAATTCCTACGGCTGCACCCTGGTTTTCAGCAGCTCCTGGGCAGAATATGGGGGTCCCCAGTTTCGGCCATATTGATGATTCAGGGATGGATCGAGAACCAACAGCCACAATATCAATGGCCATTTCAGGAACCGATTTATTGGAGGTACCTACCATATATAAGGCCTATATAAGGCCTTAATTTCAGGGAATATCCCCACAAAATATGGCCTTATATGGTACAGTACCTCCATTTTAGGATCCTGAAATTCCCATTGACCAGACTATTTTGCAAACTACAACCATATCGATATCCAACCTACTGTATTCTGAAGTAATACAGCCACTGTGAACAGTTTGGTGAGCTTATATTACTAATGCCCTAATGCCCTTGATGATATGAGCAATCGTAAAAACCCCGGCAATACTAAATATGTATTCGGCGGACATTGGTTTATGGAAATTTATGGAAATTGTTAAAAACACGAGGTAAGCGATGGGACCTTCCCAAATTAGCGATACCCCTTTTCAAGGTTATGTCATTATATTTCTTTAATCTCCACATTAGCGATACCCAAATTGGACATTGATTTGGCTATGGATCAATACCTATAGATACATTTTTAGTGGGATGAACATCCATTTACCTGCTATTTTGATGTTCACCCGGGGTACAAGGTTTTGACACAAACTATGTGTATGGCATCCGATTTTTGCACATGTCTAGTACTTAGATCTTCTCAAATCGTCATGTTTCACTTTTGCTTATTCCAAATTCAACATTATTTTCCCCCATGACTTAAGAAACCAAACATCATCGTTGTTGCCCAGTATGTACTTAAATCCCATATTATCGGATTTCCCAATACATCTATATATGATTATATATGGTTTTGTTTGAAAATAGTGAGGGATTATCGTCATTTTCCCTATTAAAATTGCCATTTGGAACCATGTTTTCATCTTGGTCTGGATGAAATATCATCACCTCGCTGTGATGTCACCGGAATGGTTAGGATTCGGGAAATCATCCCCAGATGGCCGAACGTAAAGCAAAGATAAAGCAAATGTTACCAAACAGTTTACCAACATTTTACCACAATTTTTACATTTTTTTACCATCAATGGCTGGTGTCAACATGTTTTTGCTAGCGGGTGGAAAACCGCGCGTGTAGACGTGCTACTTTTTGAATATGGGGGTTGGGTGGGGTGGGGTGGGATATTAACGTTCATGTACCTTGCGTACATACATGGATGCTACGCTGCTGCTACGTCACAAACTTGGTCGCAAAAGCATCTTGGTGACAGACGGTGCCCCATGCTACCCTAAACTGACCTCTGAACACAATCTGCTTCATGAAGCTTGCAATCATAGTAAGGGCATCTTCTGCATCACCAAGAAAAAGAAATGGGGAAACTTGCTAGTGCACACCGGTGGCATCGATGGAATGTGGAAAATTTCCAAAGGTGCAGTATCATCCTCTTGGAGCACACGTAAAGATGGTGCTGTGAACCTTCAATTGCTTCAAGCAATAAGGGTTTGGCAATGGCGATGGCACCATGGAAATTCCACTGACTTCCTCAGTCTCACAGGCGGCGCTCTGAGCAAACGCTTGGAGAAGTGACACGCCAGCGAAAAACAAGGAAAAGGCTTCCACCCCGCCACAACCACAAAACCCTGTAAATACATCGACATTCCTTCAAAGTCATTCAATTTTCCCCATTGTAATGTTCATCATAAAATGCGTGCGGCGCCACAGCGCCAGAAGAGTTTCTTTTCAAAAAGTGCTTAACCGCTAGCGCGGTTTCCCACCCGCCGGAATGTTTTCCAACCATCAATTTACAGCTGTTGCTCAGCTCTTCCCAGGCAATCGCTGGCGGAGGAAGCTGATCCAGATGCCGCTGGGAGTCAGGGGATTGGGTTTGGATCCTTCCAAAAGGATGGAATTCATGGTTTAAAATGTTGGATTGCCAAAAAAGAATATATATGTATATATATATTTGTTAGAATCCCAACATATGCATTCATTTTAAGAATAAAATTATATATCAATGATATTTTGTTTTCTAATCTTGTAATGGTGGTTGGAAAATCCTACTCGACAGTTGCTTAAGACACACATGGTTCAATAGTTCAAAATATCGATTTTCTTTGTGAAATCTTCATGTTTGTGGGTATGATCCCATTTCCCAAGCATCAAAATGTCGTTTTTTTTTTGGGACACATTCCACCAGGGCTTCTGGTCAAGGTTTTGGATGGCGGCAACTGGTGTACCATGGATATGCTCATCTCCATTTAGAGTACAATTTGGGAGATGAATTCATGATTCACAGTGAATATCCATTATAGTAGTAGATCAAATATGTGTAGAATCATCATTAATTATATCATATTCATCACCTATGACTCATTAATATCATGAATAATCCTTAGGCTGATAGGTCATTGATCCCATAGATGGTAGATCATGGAAAACTCCAGCCATGTCGGGTGACCAGAGGCTACTTCGAGGATCAGTGATGTTCGATCCCCATCTTCATGGGAACTCAGACCCTCCAAGTTAGGCTTCCCATGAAGCCTGGAACCCTGGGAACCCTGGTTATCCCATGATTTTGGTATTTCGGCCATCTTTGGCCCATTTGTATAATTTTTATGGGTACAAACCGGGGGGGTCCAGGCCCAGGTACCTACTTCTGATTTGGGACAACTGTCATTATCTTTTCAAAGCAACTGAGGCACATTCTTCTGAAGCAGCTGTGTTTGGAGCTCGGTGTGAACATCAGAATCGTACCCTCTGGTAAACTAACATAGCTATGGAAAATCACCATTTTTAATGGGTAAATCAACTATTTCTATGGCCATTTCCAATAGCTACGTTAGTCATTACCAGAGGGTAACATATCTGGGAAAATGGATGACAATGTCCACTTGCAAATGATTTACCATTTCAACATGCTTGTCGGGTGTGTGGTTTAATCCCCCCAAAATGAGGCATCTTGGTTCCCATCATTTGAAGTACCCTCTGGTAATGACTAACGTAGCTATTGGAAATGGCCCATAAAAATAGTTGATTTACCCATTAATAGCATGGTAAATTTTCCATAGCTATGTTAGTCTACCAGAGGCTAAGTTACCGGAGGGTGTAGGCCATGGCAGCCATGGCCATGTTTTTTTGTGTAAGTCACCTTTGAATGTCTCGAATTTGCAAAGTGATAGTCATAGACTGGCAGTGCAGAAATAGACGGAGGTCTTGGGATCTACAAAATCACTATGGTTTATGGTACCTATAACTATAGTATTCATGGGGTTTATAAACCATCTTATAACTGGGGGGCCCCACATTGTATACTCATAATTACTCATAGTTTCACAGCATTTGATCTCTTACAGAAGAGGTTCTCTTTCGCTGAGTCATTGAGGTTGACACCTGACACAGGGGTGTTCCCGCCGGGTGTTTGTCGTGAAAGCCAGGAAATGGTGACGATGTGGGGTAATGATTGCCTACAAGACAAGCAATGAACTATTGTTTCATTGATGAGATGTCATTCTTCAAAGTTTCAGTATGTAAAATAATATGTATAAAGTACATAGTTAACATTGACTATATTTATAGATATTTATAGTAATTGATATCTATACTATATATACCACATATACACATACACACACATACATATATATATATACATACACACATACATATATATATATGTATATATATATGTATATATGTTTATATATATATACATATTTACATATACACAGTTATAGATATATACAGATATATACAGATATATACAGATATATACAGATATATACAGATATATACAGATATTTACAGATATATACAGATATATACAGATATAGATATGTACATATATATATATATATATATATGTATACACATCATTACACAACGCACACGTGAATTCGCACAACCATCATTGACATTGCCAGGGTGCACCTGAGATGGTACAGCCTGTACAGCAGACTGCGATGCTGCAACGTGCCTCGGTGCTGGCGCCGCTGCCGCTATTGCGATGCGTTTTTTTTAAAGGTTTTTTTATTTGTTTTTAATGGTTTTTAATGGTTTTTAATGGTTCTTAATTGTTTTTAATGGTTTTTTGATGGTATATAAAACATATATACAAAGTGGGGCCCCGAACGATAGCTAAGTTGGTGAACATAACTCCAATAACTATGGTTTATGGTACCTATAACTATAGTTAATGGGGTTTATATAAACCATCTTATAACTGGGGGGCCCCACATTGTAACTGTATTTATGTTTTTTTAATGGTTTTTAATGGCATAATCTAACTGTACTTGATAGTTTTGATATATAAAAACAAACATATAAGTATAGTTGATAGATTTTAGATATAAACAAAATGATATAACTGTATTTGATAGTTTTGGTTTATATATTGTATATATATATATTGTATATATATACATATAAACAGTATTCTAATATATTCTAATTATCTAATTGGGGTTTGTCAATTGTTTTTTGTGGGCTTTCTAGCATGAAATTTAATAATGGGATTTAAAATGATTTCATAGGATGTAATTTACCATGCAAAAATTGGGATGTAACGGCATTTCTACAATGCTATGTATATATATATATACATATACATAATGATAATGATAAGTATTGGGTGTGTCTGAAAATTACCATGAAGATAGCACGGATGTCCTTTCACCATTGACAAATAGAGGGATCTCCCATATGTCCCAATCAAAAGGTAAATGGCAATCAATGGTATACCAAACCACCCCCTCTATGATTAACGGACAAGCGTGTCTACTAATAGCTAACAGCGTATAAAATGCTACTAATACCGTATAAAGCGTCTAATAGCGTATAGAATCTCACTCGGACCGTAAACTGGAGATACCTTGAGATACTCCCTTTGTAGCCAATTCAACCAGATCAATGTGGTGTCCACCAATAGATCCGCTGTTTAAGACAGGCAAGTGCCAGAACAGGTGGGAAGTCAAACACGAGATTGCTAGTAAAACACTAAGATGTCTGCAGAAGTGAGCTACAATTTTGTGTTACCCTCTGGTAAACTAACATAGCAATGGAAAATCACCATTTTTTGTGGGAAAATCAACTATAAATGGCCATTTTCAATAGCTATATGTTAGTTTACCAGAGGGTACACGGTTTTCAAGTCACACCAGTTGCATTGGCAAACCGCAAATTTTGGCAGACCAGTCAGGGCAAACCTTGGCAGGCGGGGAGCGTAGATAACTTATATGTTGTCATGAATTGGGATATGGGGGTGGGTCAAAACCTATTGCTATCAATTTGAGTGGGATGGAGATCTACTTACTAGCTATTTGAAGGTTCACTAGGTACCAGGGTTTTGACCCATAGCCATATGATATACTTAGCAACCAGCTACTGTCAACACATTTTTCAACACACTGATTTTTTTTGCAGGGTATTCAAGATTCCAAGATTGGCTCTACCAATGCTAGGTCAAATATACAATTAATGAAGATGACACTTTCTGTTTGATGCAGAATAGATCCCCCAAAAATTATTTTTGTTTATCATTTTACATCATTTTACATCATTTTACCCATGAAAGTTGCTATAAAACTGGTTGGTGGTTTGTGTTTTTTTTTTTTTTAAAACCATATATTGGGCATAGTAACCCCAACTGACTTTCATATTTTTCAGAGGGGTAGGTATACCACCAACCAGAAAGTCTATAAAACCCCCCAATTCCTGGATAAACCTATTAAAAATGGTGATGTTCCATGGCTATGTTAAATAACCAGATGGTAACAGCAACACAGCCATTTTGAGACCAAGCAATTGGACGAGGTCCGGCGCCACCGGAGCGTCCTCCAGATACGAGGCCGATGGCCATAATGGGACCCGGTCGTTGCAGCCAAGATGTTTTTCCAGATGTGACCTATGTCTACATATGGTTCCTTTAACGAAAAAATTCTGGAAAACCTCCATTTCACATCATGATAACCAAAAACTCCAATGGGCTTTCCGTCATTCTACCATTTTTATGATGACCATTGGAGTTTTAGATGACCATTGGGGCATTTAGATGACCATTTCACGACTCAAAAAACACGAGTTCCACTGAGAAAGGGATCGGCAACAGCTGCAAGATTCCGGCAGTTGGGGATCACGGCACCCCTAAGTTGGCTGAAATGGTTGATGACATGTTACGCATTCAAAGTGGATAACTTTATCTTGCAATATAAACATAATAATATATATATATAATATATATATAATATCATATCAAGTGGATATGTGTATATTTACATAGTTCTTGGAAATAATTCAGTAACTTCAGCACTCAGAAAACCGGAGTTCCGCCGATCAATTGGTGGTGTCGCATGGCTTTATTTACTATTGAACTGATGAAACTCCGGCGGCTGGAAAATGTGGTCAAAGTTAAGGGGCCCGACATTTTTCCCAAATGGATGGTTCTGGGTAAATTTCATCACGACCATACGTCGTGACCGTGTGAGGCCCAACAATTCAGAGTGAGTGAAATAAATTCGTGTTTTTTTCAATTTTTCACCAGCTAACCGTTAGATGCTGATCAAAATTCACCCAGATTGATGATTTACCCAGATGGTTTGATACTCAAAATTCATGACCAGCTGGGGTTTATCATCCCCAAGGGATCTCGACAGGCCGCGGGAGGCTCTAGAGATGCCAATGAGGTCGTGAGTCCGAAAGATTTGGAGCTGAGTAGAACGTTTTGGAGGATTTTTGGATATCTCTTGTTGGTTTTTGTTGATTCTTGGGTTGTTTATATATATATAATTATATATATAATATATATATATATATATTACCCAACTGTGCATGTTGGGTCCTTTTTTGCCAGAGGTTTGATGTTTTGCCACCCGATTTCTCCTCCAAAAAAATTATGCAATCTGAGATTAGGCGGATTTATTCTCCATATTGATGATTTACGGAAAATTGCAATTTAATGCGATTGTCCATTGCCTGGTTCGAGCAGTACCACATGAGCCCTATTCAAACGGGATGCCCCCTTTCATTGGCCTTACTAATACACATTTTTTGTAGCTAGATTGGATACATGAACTTGCCACTGAAGAAAACGACAGCTGGAGATAGAGTTCCACTGATGGGCGGCAGATATAGTTTATAAATTATAGCTACCATAACTACCCATGTCCCTGGAATCACGTCAGAGTCGATTGGGAGTTCTGGATCATAATTGGAACCACACAGAGTTTCTCGATTTTGGTCGGGTTGAATGGTACTAAACCTATTTTCTTATTACACTGTGTTCTATTATATTTTTCAGCAGTACCCCGTTGCATTTCACTGTAATTCCATCCATTTTCGGAAATAACACGTTTTGACCGAGAACCACAGATGGACTGGTGAGTGCAAAGGTGCGCATGGATGGCTGCAAAATACACAGCATGTAAGAGGGATTTCCCAGGAAAAAACATCTATACATGGGAGTGTTCATAGGAAGAAAATAAAGGTCCCCAAATGAAATTCTATTCATTGTTCAGCAATGTTTGATGACGGAGGGTAATTCTATTCATATTCATCAAAAAACAATAACTATCAACATCATCATCCCATATCATCCCATGATATTACCCCATGATATCCCCATGAAAATATCTGAGTAACCACCAATACTCAAAGTAAATCACCATTAGAAAATTCAACGGGGATTGGTTTCAGGGATCATCTACGTAACGGACATTTTTCTAACAGTATTGCTGGTAGTTAAACACATGGCTTTCCTGAAGACTTTTCCCGTGAAAACCCACGTATATTGATTTTTATAGCAATTAATCATAGAATCATATGGAGGTTTAATAAAAATGGGGGTACCACTAAATCATCCAAGTCATTCGTCTATTTTAGCATTTTAAAAGCATTGACACCTATTGGTTTTGGGGGATTCCCCATTTGAGGAAACCTCCATATATGTTGATAGTAACAATTAATCATCTAATATATATATATATAATCATTATATAATCATATCTGGTTGGTGGTTTGGAACATGAATTTTATGACTTTCCATATATTGGGAATTTCATCATCCCAACTGACGAAGTCCATGATTTTTCAGAGGGGTAGGTCAACCACCAACCAGATAATCATTATATAATCATATAATTTTCATATACCATCTGGTTATTTAACATAGCCATGGAAATCACCATTTTTAATAGGTAAACCATCTATCTATAAATGGGCCATCTATACCATGGCTATGTTAAATAACCAGAGGGTAACCAGGTAGTCAGAGAAAAAGAACCAGAGAGATCAATCACCTTTCGATCCATCAGTGGATTCGCTCTGTCACCCGTGAGTCACAACAACCAACCGATCTCCTTTTTCGGTTTCCTATTTTTGAAACTTCCGCCACCGCCTTGTGCGGTACTACTGGTAAAACCCCAACTGACTAATATTTTTCAGAGGGGTAGGTCAACCACCAACCAGGTAGGACCTTGGTTTTTATTGACCGGGAAGATCTATTGGATCTGGATGATTTTCATATAACCCATGACGGATCCATGGTGCTGGTATATAAGGTATATATGCTAACATAAAGGGGGTATATTGATGGGATCCATGGAGCACCATATATAGCAGCACCATGGATCCGTCATGGGGAAAGAAATGATTGGGAAAATGAACATCGACACATCAACCAAAGATTGGTTATCACTCATCACATTTGGTAAATGTTACCATATATAGCAGCACCATGGATCCGTCATGGGTATCATGTTATATCTACCACACATCATAGAACTATATAGAAATACTATAGAATTCAGCCACCAAATACCATCTATTGGATCTGGATGATTCTCAAATAATCACCGATTTGTTCGCCAGTGAATCCTCCCATCGCTGCAGGTCAGAGGCGTGGTCTGCCAGGTCTGAGGCAAAGTCTTCGGACCCGGAGTGGGCTGGCAGCTGTGGCCTGAGCGCTCTGAAGTCTGGGGGGATTTGGGGGCACCTTGGGGCGAGAATTGCTACTCAAAGTAGGGAAACTGATGGGAAACTGATGGGAAACTGATGGGAAACTGATGGGAAACTGATGGGAAACTGATGGGAAACTGATGGGATTTATATAAAATCCCTGGAATTTAGAACTGGAATTCTTGAACATGTTTGAATCCATCTCTGAACACTTGATCGATCCCCAAGAAACTCCTCTGAGACTTTTTCAAAGAAAATCCTTGGTTTCACCATTTCTGGTGGACACCTTGGTATCTTAGAGTGTGAAAATGTGGCGTAGTCTAAAACTGCAACCTGCAGTGAATTTTTTCGCTTGCACTAAGCCACAACAAGCGCGAATAGTATGTGCGCCCCGGATGGGTATTTTCGAAAAAAGCTTTTGGGTCTTGGAACGATGGAGCCTCATCCTTTCAGTTGTCAAGCAGCTTCTCAGAAGTTCTTTTTTGGTTGATTCATGGAATATCTCATTATACTATCATGTACTATCAATTAGTCTAGTCTATTTCCATATTGTATATATATATATGGAGGTTTCCTAAGTCATGGGGGTAGCCCAGTTATCATCCATTGTTATCAGATTTTCCATGAAACCATCCAGCTCTTGGGGTAGCCCATAGTTACCTCAGGTGCCGAAGAAGCGGCGGGTGCTGCTCCTGTTCGGGGCTCCGAAGTTCGAGGAGACAGCCATTTTCAAATGGGTATGGATCAATACCTATTAATACCATTTTTAGTGGGATGAACATTCATTTACCAGCTATTTTGATGTTCACCAGGGGTACAAGGTTTTGACACACTGCCAAATGCTGCTCAAAACCATGGTTTGTTCGGCATGGTTTTAAAATGTAATATTTTGTTTTTTTGTGTCTTTCCCTTTAAAGCAATCCATTAAAACATTGGTAGCTGGTTGGTGGGTTGGAACATTTTTAGTTTTTCCATGTATTGGGAATGTCATCATCCCAACTGACGAAGTCCATGATTTTTCAGAGGGGTACGTCAACCACCTACCAGAATATTATTAACCATCATTAACCATATAATAACCATATTAACCATTAACAGTATATTACCAACCAATGGTAGGTCAACCACCAACCAGGTAGGACCTTGGTTTTTTTTGACCGGGAAGATCGGATCTGGATAGGTTGGTCCCCCCTCAGTCGGTAAGCCCAGCTGATCGGCCTAAGATGCAGCATCCTGTCCCACCACGTTGGGAGACTCAGCGATGGATAAAAAACGCTACGACGCACATCATCCTGGCCGCGGGCATATTTATGTGTTTTTCCTAAAATAGAAAAAAACACACATTGATTTCTTCATTTAAACATGACCAAAGATACTTGGATTATAACTTCAGGTTCCCCTCCCTATAGGACACCTACATTACATGTATATAGGTCAAAGAAAACATTGGCTGTGCGAACATCTAACATCAGGCTAGCCAACTACCAGGCTATCATAGTACCACAGATGATGAGCAAAGGGAAGCAAATCCATTACACACGTGGTGATTCCTGAACTTGGTGCTTGGTTGGTATGTGGTTCCCCACCAGCATCAAGTGAGGCTTCTTCACCTGCCGGTCACATGTAAAAACAAACAGATAGATGTTCTTCCCAGATTTGGAGGACCAGACATTGTGCAGGGCCCCCCTAGAGTAAGTGTTGTTTCAGTGGTAATAATCATGGTTTCCTGTAGATTTTCCAACCAATGCGATCTGTTCTCCTCAGAAAAAAATGGTGACACCACCCTGCACGATGTTACCCTCTGGTAAACGAACATAGCTTTTGAAAATGGACACTTTGTAGTTGATTTACCTATTACAGTGCTGATTTTCCATAGTTATGTTTGTTTACCAGAGGGTATCGAATTCAACCTGATTTAACAAATAGTCAACTTGCAGTTGGTATTGATGCTTTGAATATGTTTGGACTTGGAGGAGTCTGTCAATTATCAGCCAATACCTATAATATATAACTGGCTTATTGGACCTGTATGTAAAAATATCATATACATATTGATGCATATTGGAAAATAATTTTGGTCCCAAATACGTGGCCCCTAACATGACAACGTAAAATCCACCATTTAGTTTAGAGGATTTCCCAGCAAGCAACGTTTGATTACCAGAGGATAATTCACTAATAACCATTATATAATCATCATTAATCACCACTATTAACAATTCCGCACAAAACTGGACGTTTGCCCGGAGCCTACGCCTGTCGCACAAAATGACTATCTTTTTCAACGGACCCCGACGAAGTCTGCGAAGGGTTGTCGCCGAGAGTTACCGGGAAAGCAGAAAGAAACTTCGCGTTTTAGAGAGTAAACCCATGATTATACCCTTCTACTTCTACATATTGTTTTAGGGGTGGCAGATTTTGACCTTTCATGTATATTGTTTTACAAAGTGAACCCATTATTGTACCTTTCTATATACTGTTTTCCGGGGTGGCAGATTTAGACCCTTCATGTATATTGTTTTGCAAAGTGAATTGTATCCTTCTAAATATTGTTTTACGGCAAATTTTACGGGGTCGCAGATTTAGACCATTTATGTATATTGTACAGAGCAAATCCATTATTATACCGATGCCCTTCTATGTATTGTTTGAGTAGTGTGGCAGATTTATTCCATCTTGTTATGATATTTGTATACCCTGTGTTGAAGCTGATTAGAGAGATGTGAAATTGTGGTAAAAGTGATTTCTTTTTCTCATATTGGGCGAACGTTCGGTCCCCAAGGTCAGCCGGCATTCAGTCACCAGGACCGACAAAAACCGGGTGGAGTAAGCAACATCAATGACAGCATTTGAATTTTCTGGTCTCAAGTGGCTTTATGTTCAACCCTACAGGATGGGCCCCCCAGTCGATAGCGTTTAGTTGAGATTTTTTTGTGGCTGAATTCTATAGTATATTTCTATAGTTATATGATGTATGGTAGATATAACATAATATAACTATAGTAGATATAACATGGTATGTTGGTTTATAACACTATGGTTTATTAACCCCATGATATAACTATAGTTTTTATGGGGGTTATAAACCAAGGTTCACATAACTGGGGTGCGCCATCCTGTGACGGGGATTGGCCAAAATATGGCCCCACCTGGCAGGACGCTCAGCTATTAGACCAGGCAGGGCGAAATATTTTTTTTCGGGCGCGTCCTGGAGGATTTTTGTTCGAAGTCATGAAACCAACATGAAAATCGGTTTATGAGTTCAGAGAGTTCGGATGTGATTTACATTGCTGGTTGGTGGTTTGGAACCTGACTTTTATTTCCCATAATAATTATATGGGATAATCCTTCCCATTGACTAATATTTTTCAGAGGGGTTGAAACCACCAACCAGATTGAATATGTGAAGATCACGAATGTTTTTCATACAATGAATTGGGATCGGTAGCGCTGCAGTGATTCCTGGCCAGAGCTCTTGGGGTTGGTCCCCAGCGTTGCTGTTTGATGGTGGTTTTGGCCATGACAAGTGGTGATTGAACTTGCCAAAGATGGAAAGTTATCAGCAAGAAATTCAACAAATAGGATTAAGTATCCTACCCAAGTAGTGGTGACTTTCATAATCAACCATCACTCAACCATCAAGAACCATTATTTTCTCTCTACGTCAGTGAATTCTGATACCAACCAAGCAAAAGAAAATCATCAGTGAGGTGGGGAACTGAAGCTTTTGGGCACTGCTCATGTTGGGAAGGATTCAACCTAGTTGGCCTCCAAACTTGGAGGGTTGACTACTGTGGTAGAGCAAACACTACCCCCATTTGGCCATACCCTCTGGTAAACGTTTACATAACGAACTGGAAAGATCCACCATGCTATTCATGGGAAAATCCACTATTTCTATGGTCATTTTCCATAGTTACGTTAAATTACCAGAGGGTACTTTGTACCATCCATTTCTGATCACTTTGGGTCTACAGCTGTCGATGAACTCTGCGAATCTCAGGATGGAATTCCCAGAAATTCAACTGAAAAGCCTGGATTGGTTGAGTCGGGAAAAGCTGAACACCGGAAACCCACGGGTTTTCACATTTTCATTCATATCTACGGTAGTGTCCGGTTTTATATTTTTCCCTCAATCCAATGAGCTTCGAATTCTCATCCTTGGATGGATTCAACAAAAAAAACGACAAACATGAGAAAGTTCAATGACTCGATGAGAATCCTATCCATTCAACTTAGATAGGAACTATATAATTATTCATTCTCAGGATAGGATCTCAAGAAAAAAATCCCACGAAATCGCCAGCTGACTGTCAGGTGGTACACCAAGCCCTTGACCTCACCAAGAACAGGCGATGATATCTGTGGACAGGAATGTCCGCCCCAAAATGCGCCTTTGATGTAGGGAACATATTAGGGAACATGAGGTTTACCCATGGTATTTGTGATGATTTGTGGCTTTTCCGCGATTTTTTTTGTTGACACTAGCCATTTAAGTGGCCCTTTGGGGATCATACTCGTCGGTCAAATTTAGAGGTGCCCTATCTTCACACACACCAATCCCGGTGCGGACGATCCATTTTTGAGGACCATTGATGGTCAATTGATGGCATGTAGGATAGTGACCAGCATTTTTTTGAGTACTTTAATGACTTGACCCATACCCAATCATACCCACTTGCCAGGAAGTAACAGGGGATAGTATTATCTATCATCATAATATGTGTAAATGTACCCTAAATTCCAGGCGAAAACCCACAATAATTTTCCTTGTATCAATTTGGAAACTAATTGTTTAACATATCAATTAAAAAACCGATTGTTGATTCATGGTTAAATCTATGTGCTCGTCAATGGTTTGATTAAATCTCCAGTTGTCATGGGTTACTAATCCATTGATACCATATTGATCCATATTGATTTATATTCCATATCCTATCATATCCTATCCGTATTTAAATTGATTGACAGATCACTCGACCGGTTCCCCGATGCCAACACTGGCCCTGCCCACTCGCCGGTTTTTCGGCGGCAGGCAGTTTGCGGAGGCCGAAAGATGTCTCGCTCAACTGGCCAGTGATGAAACCCAGGAGGAAGAAGACCCTCGGTGGGTACTTTCCATGTCGAGTATATCCCCAATGGTGAGCTGTCTGTGGGTAAAACAATGTCATAAACCACTAACATGACTGGGAATGGTAAGTTTATACTGTCATAAACCCCACATAAACATCATAAAAAAGGTTTTCTGACTGGGGGATGGTAAACATATGTAAACATGACATGGTTTTACCCACATTATATATATATAATCTTAATTAATATTATTCTGTTCATATACCCTTTGATGTCATCCCAGGAGGGTGGGAAATAGTTCCTAGGCCGCCGCATGGAGCTTCGCTCAGCTGGGAATGGAAAATCACCTATGGCATCGCCACGACTGCCACGACCATCTCCAATACTGCTGCGTTTTACGCAGAGAATTTTCGGGAATGATCCAATGATCCATTTCATCACTCACTAGTAATAATTAATCATCCCAGCAACCCCCAGCAACCCATCCAGCAACCCTACGTTTAGCACGCACCAGTAAGAATAATGAATAGAGGTTTATGCAATTGGGTATACCCCGGTCTTTGGGATGATTTACAATGGCTCCCAGTCTTGGAAAATGTGAATTTTGGATGGTTAGAAAAATCTTGGGTTTACCTCGAATAATATCCCCATTTTTAAGGGTGAGTATACTTACATAATGTCAATAGATTCTTACCCAGAGGATCCATGTATGGAATATTTACCTACATTGACCCCTAAAGTAATTTAAAATAATCCCAATGTAGGTAAATATTCCATACATGGATCCTTAGGGAATTAGATAATCCTACTAATTTCCCAATCTTTTAGGCCCACAAATCATGGTGTTCATATGTTGGATCATTGGCATCGACTTAGCACTCCCACAGATCGGGTTGGTGACCGCCCAGGGCGGTGGTTGAATCCTGAGATGTGGCTTCCAATTCTGTAAACCTTGGGAGAAAGCCTGGCATTTTTTTTAAATTCATTTTATGCCGAGTGAAATGGTGAACAGTTTTTAAACCATCCAGATCCAGGGCTGCAAGGCATCCCACTTGTTCAAAGTCAGGAACCAACTTCTCCAAGATTTGGGAATGTTCTTCTGAAATGGTGTCTGAAAAAGGGTGGATGGTTCACAACCAGTTATGGCCATCAAATGCCATCAACTAATAGGGAAAATGATGATCAACCAGTGGATAACACATTTGCTTGTTGCTGATGTGCTTGGTTCAGCTTGTTTGTAGCTAAATCGGCCACCATGGCGAGGGCAGCTGTTTCCGAATCCTATTCCGGTGCCGCTTTCCCAAGATCAGGATCTTTAAGTTTTGATGGGCCTGAATATCCGCAGCATATCACCATATTTTTGTTGCCTAAATAACAAGTTCTCATGGTTAAGTCATGTTAAGTCACCTTTGTTGATGATAAAACCACTATATTTTTACAATAAAACCCACCATTTTTGATGGTAACGCCATCATTCTTGATGGTCAAATCAGAGTCTTTACAATAAAACCACCAGTTTTGATGCTGAAACCATGCTAAAACACCAGCATTTGTCATGGTAAAAGCATGTAGAACCATCACAAATCCACCATAATCCACCCATTTTTCTGGCTCGAAAAGTCGTTGAGGTGAACACCCAGAGTTGGCCGACTCCAAGGAAATGAAGGCGGCCCACCAGGCGGCGTCTTCGGGTCCGGGCGCTACGGGGTCTTTGAGAAACCCTGGGATTTGTTGATGAAAAATGGTGATTTTTAACATCCGCACTGTTAATTTAACCGTGAACAATAAGGATTATTAGCATCAACAATTTGACAATTTTGATTTCGAGATGATTTAAGATTTAAGATAATTTAAAGATGAGAAGTGTGGAAAAATACTTATGACAAATAGGGATTGAAGCATTAAAACTATGGATTTCTTGGAGGAATGGAGACATGAAATATGGGATGCTTGAGGCTCCCAAAGTGCGATTCTTCATCCATTTTCAGTTGGATATTTCATTTGGCATCCCGTTTTTTTCGATGGTACTGCACCCGAAATGAACGTACCAGATTGCTTTAAGGGAATATGCCAAAGAAACATAGGCTTGCCTATCCCAACTTGACTCTAGATATCTCTAGATGTTTCCTCTTTCACAATGCTGGGATGAACAGAATACAATTTGACGAAGTGCTAATCAATCTCCCCATGACATCTCACGTGGGAAGATGACCCCACTGACTTTCACATGTTTTTTTTGGGGGTTCTTGAAACCATCAACCATTGTCATGGGCAAAAACCATCAAAAACCTTAAGTCGCGCTGAGATCCCCAGTTCTTGAGGGTTGATTTATGTTGATTTCCACTACTTTGGCTGGTTTCATGAGGGTCTGTTTTCAGAGGGGCAAGCCCTCCGTCTTCCGCACAGACCGTGGCAATCTGCAAGCAGCTCAATGACAGCTGAATTTCGGGGGATGGGTCAACACGATTTTTTGGGGATGAACTGATGAAGAACCTACGGAGCATCTCCAAAAATGAGAGAGTTTCTAAGTGATGTGGTACACCCAATAATCATCAATCTCCAAATACACATGGGTGGTATAAACCCTCCAAAACTGGAGCTGTATTGACATTAAACAAAAAGTGACTGCTCCAGTGGCCGGGGCCTTTGACATGTTGACCCATACCCATTAACAGTGATCTCCGACTCGCCCCTGCGAAAAACAAATCGTAAAGCCTCTGCAGGGCGCTGCAGTTTCCAGCACGTGGTTCATCCTTTGTAAAGGGTGGTTATATAATCCAATGTTTTTGCATTTTTTTGCAAGTTTGATGGGAACATACAATAACCCACTAAGAATTAGCAATGTTCAGATAACATGGGGTTGGAACTAGCCATAATTGGTACGGTTGACTGGTGATGGTGCCATGAGGGGGCCATATGGGGCCATAACGATAGCCTAATAGATCTTGCTGGTTGCTTCAGCCAAAGCATGCCAAAACTATCCTGATTCTCCTGGACGAATTGCTTCCTTGGCTCTATTTCCTGGCAATCTGCAGAATCTACAGGATACAATGGAGAAAACCATCCAAGGGCCATGGGCCCATGGTGCTATTTTGAAGATAAGTCATGAACACGTTGGACTTTATATCAATGGCCATTCCAGGATCCTAAATTGGAGGTACCTACCATATATAAGGCCTATTTTTGAGGCCTATGTAAGGGAATATCCCCACAAAATATGGCCTTATATGGTACAGTACCTCCAATTTAGGATCCTGGAATTCCCATTGATTATATGTTTATGTACTTTCATTTGAATTTAAAATGGAACTTGACGTTCAGCTGCTTTTCAGAGTTTAGATGGCTTTGTATGAGGGGTATACCATGGTATACCCCCCAAATCCCCTGATTTCCCACTTAAAAGATACCACATCTATTTGGTATACCTCCTATTTCTTTGGGACAAGGGGCAGTTTGATGTGCTGATCTCTTCCGATCTCTGGCTCCAGGCTGTGTGTGTTGTTTCGGCTGTTGACAAAAGCTCGAAAACCACCAGAAGGCGACCAGCCGACCATGGCCATGCTCCGGCACTTTGTCCTTTCGGCCCCTGGGTCGCCCTTTGGGGTCGGGCTTGTCGATGGTCTTTGTGGGGTGTAGTTCCTATGATTTGTGAGTTTAGTGAGCAACAGTATATTGCCGTAATGGGGGGATTACATCCCGACTGATGTGGGGCACCACCATGTACATTGGGTGGAAAAACATCATTATTCACAGTGGATATAGGTCGAATACAGCTATGCCAGCGTCGTTGTGGTGGCATATGCGCAGGAGTGATGCAGGCGAACCGTAAAAGATCATAAAATACCAATGCATACAAATGCCCAGAGGATAAAGAAAACAGCCTAGTGGCCTAGTATGGCCTAGTAGCCTTGCACCCCTCAAGTACTAGAGTCGTCGCCACTGGATGCGACCAAAGTTGGTGCATGTTCGGTGCATTTGCAGGCTCGAAAGTGATAATTTTTTTGTTGATCCATGTGATAGTCACTGATACAAATGATACAAGGTAGGCCCCCCTCCAGTTATAAATTGGTTGAAATAAACACATGAACAAAAGTCAGATCCCCATAAACCCACACGTTAATCAAGTCATAAGCCAACTTAGCTATCATATAAATCAGCTACAATTCCCATTATTAATCTTCATTTTTGTTGATTAAATCACTACACATCCCATTAAATCTCCATTTTTCTTGATTAAATCACCACTAACCACCATTTTCCTAGTGACGTCTTGAACATCAGCACTTTCCGTTGGCAATTAGACAAGGCCTTGCTGCTGTGCGCAACTTTGTTCCTTGCCCCTCGGCGGGAAGTTGCCACGGCTGGACATCAGATGCACAGCTGATATGATTATACTATTACCCTCTGGTAAACGTTTACATAACTATGGACAATCACCATTTTTAACGGGAAAACTCACTATTTCTATGGCCATTTTCAATAGCTATGGTTAACATAACCAGAGGGTATATTTTTGGGTTTCCTAAAATGGGGGATCCCCAAACCATAGGTTTCAATACTAAAATCGCAAAAAATTAGTCTAATGACTTGGATGATTTGGAGGTAGCCCTATTTCAGGAAACCTCCATATCCATATCCGGGCTTAGATGATCCATGATTATCATTCTGTATATATATATACATATAATATAGTTAATAGAGTTATACATAAATTGGATATAATGATAATCCATGAACTTGGAATCTGAAACCAATCATGATTTTGGCATTTTCCGGGTTTCTGACACTGTTCGCTCTCCATTGGCCGAGCCAATGGCAGCCCTGTTGAGAAAAACACTGACATTGGTTGCTGACTCATACCCTCTGGTAATTTTGCGCAGCGAACTGGAAAATCATCATTTTAAACAGGTACATCATCAACAATTCATCAATTCATCTCACTAAATGGGCCATTTTCCATAGCTATGTTAAGTCACCAGAGGGTAGTTTGGGGTTGTGAATATCTAACGAACCACAGAGAAAAATCGATATAGCCTTCAGGCAAACTGGTCCTGCTGCATTTCGATAAGGGTATCCCGGTAGTTGTAGGTTATACATGGTTATACCATGCGACAACACCGACTGGATGGGTAGTATGGCAAAATCTTCAAAACCTTATACATGGGCGTTTTTTTAATGTATAGTCCCGAACTATCCCTAACTATCCCTAACTATCCCTAACTATCCCTAACTATCCCTAACTATCCCTAACTGTTCCCTGTTTGCAGGGTATCAATAGATGGTTTTTCCAGGGAACATCTTCACTGGAAATTGGCAGCTGTATCCCGCAGATTTACTCCTAGAAACTGGATCCGAACCAAATCCAAGATTGGCTGATCCACATCAAAATCCCATGAACATCACCATGAAAACTATATATTTTTATATAGTATATATATATATATTTATAATATATTTATAATATATCCCATAGGATCCATGTATGCTATATATGGTAACATTTACCATCAATATACCCCCAATTTGTTAGTATATATACCATACATGGATCCTATGGGTATATATATATAGAAATATAAATTGGGAATGATCATATGTATTAATATGTGATTACTTTTTGATGTGGATAAACATCTATAGGGTTGTTGTGTCTTATCAGCAAAATCACCATGAAAATCACCACATCGTTCCCTCCAGCAGGCGCCAGCCTTCGTTGGGAGTTCACCATCGGTGAAGGGCTCGCGCGGGAACGTGGCAGTGAACGGTCGCCAGGGGAAGAGGCGCTGCGAACGGGGTGCCAGGGAGGTTTCCGGTCGGATGATTTCGCCATGAAAAATAGGGAATGAAGCACGAAATCATAGGGGAAAATGATGGAAAATGATGATTTGGATGTGAATTTGGTGATGATCAACAATTTTTTGAGCCCAAGCTTTCAAAAAATCTATCCACTATCCACTTACCGGATGATATGGATATGGATGGTATCATGAATACTATCATCCGGTTGGTATGAGGAAAATTGATGATAATTGCTGTGTTTGTTTTCTTTCTCTGTTCGGACTGACCCAAATAGTCAATTGCCAGTTTGACACGATCTCCTGTTTGAAGAGAGGGTCCTTACCCTCTGGTAAACGTACAAAAAACTATGGAAAATCACCATTTTTCATGGGAAAATCCACTATAAATAGCCATTTTCAATAGCTATGTTAAATTACCAGAGGGTAATTAACTTTGACCAAGAAAACGGACCGCAAAGTCAGAACATCGGTTGTCAATGGAACCAACATAGAATCGGCATTCACTGAATTCACATGCCATGTGGGCAGTGGGGTCCAAGCAACCCACTTGTGTGGCTGGTAAGTTTTGGGCTGTTCACTAGCCCCCACCCAAGTGTTGGTTGATAGGCCATAAACTGGAGATTGTGGTATCTAAGATCGGCCGATCGGCGACTTCTCGTTGAATCCCAATGATGAGCTTCAAACAATAGTCCCACAGTGGGAAAATACTATGCGAACCTCGAAATTCTCCAGTAGTTAGACCATGTTAGACCTAGAAAACTGATTCAACATGGGGTAATGTATCCATTCTGACTTGAGACTTTTCTTTTTTGGTATATGTTTTATAGGCATTTTGATGGTTACACACCGTATCTCCAAGGATCATCTTCCACGACGCCAGGGGAGGAGCTGGACCTCGTCCCAAGAAGATGCCCCGGGATATCACCTACACCTACGTGCCCTACAAGCGCGCCGGGAAGAAGATGGACTCCTGGTAGCGGGCTACGGGCGTTGGGACCGTTGGGAGTGTTGGCACAGGCACCCTGACTGGTAGATCTGCTAGAGAAGATTTTTATGGCGGGCGGGCATTTGGAGATCAAAGATGTAAAGGGAATATTAAATGGAATATTGATGATTGGGAGATATGTATGAACTGTATGAACTTCTTGGAACTTCTGTTGGGTTTGTCTGACTGTTTTGGACAAAAGAGATGAAAAGAGATCTTTGATCATCATTGTGTCGGATCAATTACAATTTTGTGGTAAATCACCTGGGTTTGGACAAACAGAATGACACTGATGGAGGTGGCCGTTTTTGAAGATTGGGGTTGGTGGTTTCAAATCGGAGAAATTCTCATCTTTTATCTTCGACAATTTTTTTGACGCTGGTCATAGTTGAGTGTATCATATTGTTCACTGGTGTTTACTTTTACCATACGTTTTTTGCATTGTCCAAGTCAAATAGCTGTAAACCAGCAGCAAATGGACGAACACATACCTATATACAGATTTCAAGATGGAACTTGTGGCAATATCAGATAATCCCATTCCCCTACTACTAAACAACACCCAGAAAGCATGTTTTAGTAGGGGATTCATACGTATTTGGGACCATTAAAACTCATGGGGTGTTTGATATGAATTCGGGTGGGACTCTCTAGTCCGAAACCTGCCACAAAAAGCGGGAATCCCGACAACCCATTTTCATTCTAATCAGGACAAGAAGCGATGAGGAGATAGCTGAGATAGCTGAGATGCTGCCGGCCAGCAGACTGGATGATATAGATATACATAATATATCATAGTAAAGGAATATTTTAGGCCTTTCTGTATCAGAACAATATCTATGATCTAGACATGTCTAACCGCCCCAACAAAATGATACATAGTTTTGTTTGGTGTGCCCAATGTGTCCGTTAAGCACCTAAAAAAGATTGGTGAACAGCAGCGGTCGCTAATGATCTTTGTCAATTTGTCAAGCCATAGGCATCTAAACTCGGTGCTTTCGATGCGTTCCAGGCTAAACATATTCGGAAAATCTTTGAGATTCATATTTCATAGAATTGGATGACGGGAAAATTTACAGGAAACCCCTATATTTCATGGTAAAAACCATGGTTTCCTGTAGATTTTCCCTTAAACCAATCCATTGAATATTGTCCTTAAATGATATATACATGACTTGCAAAACGCAATTTTTCGGCAGGTGCACGGTCCAATTCTGAGTCTGTGTCAAAGAGCCTGTGCCCTGTGTCTCCAAAAAATAAAGGATGAGTGTGGAGTTGATTTGCTGAAGATGAGTTGTTATTTTCCCTAATGGGAAATCCACTAATTGTTAATGTTTGTGTTTTGTGGATGTTTCTCACAGGTGCTCCATGTTTGGTATGTTGACGAACCTTTGTGCCATGCCAAATATGAAGAGAATTTGCTGCGGGTGCATCGTCTTTGCCAAGGATCTTCCCGCATAGCCCTCACATGTTTGAGGTCTTTCCGCTGCAGCGCTCTGGCCCAAATTCCATGGCGCTTTGTGATCTTTGTGACATGGCCCGGATTTCACTGGAACAAGTTACTTGTCAAATGTCCTAAAATGGGGGTACCCCCAACTCATCCATGTTTTTTTCCGTATGTTCCATTTTTTGGGTACCCCCCCATTTTAGGAAACCTCCTCTTGTCAAATTCAAGAGATGTTAACCCAAAGATCAAAGCCTAGAATCCAGATATCTCCAATTCAGTGCACTGCAATGAGCCAGGCAGGGTTGGGGGGCAGCCCTGCTGGGTGACACAACTGTCTCATATATATATATATATATATCTATATGATTGATTATACGGTAAATTATATATATATATATTGACGGTGAGTAGGGGTAACTATCCCAAAATCGCCGAACGTTTCAGATTAGTGAATTATCATATCTTATCCATATGTTTACTTGACTATAGTAGAGTCCAGTTGGAGATGGTGTATGACCCATTTCTCCTTAAATTGATGATGGTTTATTAATGATTTTGTGACATCATCTGTGAGAATGCAAAGTCATGCTGACATTGACGGGGTGTAAACGGCCCCAAGACGATGGATCCGATACTAAACCAAGGTCTTGGAAATGGGGTGTATTTTAACATGGAAAGGGATTAGTTCCCATAGACTTCCTCAAATGAATCAATACGAAATATTGTGATATAACCCTGAACTTCAAAGTGTCTAAAAAACTCGCCCATTCACACCGCACTCGCTAAACTCATGCCTTATTCTTAGGCACTTCTTGCTGAGGATTCGCTGCTCTGGCAGGTGTAGTTTTTATCGCTACATTGCAGGCTCGAACGACACATTGGTGGATTTTTTTGGGAACCATGCAGGGATTTTCTAATCAATCACCTGTGTTTTGCATCACAACTGTTTAACCTTTGATGGCATGATGCACTTAGCTACGAGCCATGGAAACTCTGTGCAAACATTGGTGGTAACCGAACGGGCCCACCCCTCAGTTTTATTTATCTGTAGTGTTTTGAAAGGGGTTAATTTTAATATGGCCAATATCTGGCCAAGGCCAATGTGGAGAAGTGGCACGACAACACGTCAGGAACTCATCTTTAATTTTGGAAAGTTGAACTAGTCGCTTACCTATTTGATTTGTGAGGTTGCTTGGAAACTTCGAGCGAATCCCACGAATCTGATGGTGCGCTCCCCCTTCACTCATGCGAACAGTTTACAACCATGTTTTGCAAACATGATCAGTGTCAACTGATTTTCGAAATTTGTACGTGATTTCCTCCCACAATTTGCTAGAAAGTTTGTTGAAGCTACTCCAATTCAAATGCAAAACATGGGGATCAATATATATATATATATACAGCCATAGATTCACTTATGGGCCCCGAACCTCATCGTGATGCTCAAGCAATTTTTTTTGGTGGGAGTGTTCGTGCACGCCGGGCCATGCCCACGAGCAAGCCCAATCCTGTGGCAGTCCAGAATTTGGTAGTGGGTGGTCCCAGTCATGAGGGTTGCTGTGGATGAGCCTATTTTTTTAAATACAACCAATTCATTCACTTAGGAACTTTATGCCGAACTTCTGACCCCTGACTATGTCAACGAGCGGTTGAAGATGGTGAAAAGACGGACTGAAGGAAGGAAACCCACAAAGGCGATCCCATGGTTTTAGCTCCAGTCTTTTCATTTTGATTTGTGATCAGATAGATCTGTTGTGTCCACTGACAGGCCCAAAAGAACGGTTGGTTCAGCTTCTTAGACTTTCGTGGATGCACAATCAATGAGAAACAGGCAGGGTTAATAATAATCATCGACGATGTATTTAAGCGTATTTGGATTTCACCCAATGGCCCGGATGCTGCAGGTGACACGAACCAAAAACAACTTCACCTTTCTCCTGAACTACAATGGAACTTTTGCGGGCAATTACCCAACCAAGAAGGAAGTGCAGGCCTGCAAACGTCTAGAATAAATATATAAGTTGAAAGTCTAGTTGAATACCATATTGTGGGTTAAATTAAATCTAAACCTCCTGGCCAGGAAGCCTTGAAGATCGTCAACACTCGGTTTCGATTGAACGACTTCAAGGACAAAGAAGCTTTGAAGGCAGGGGGTCAGACAATAGATCTATGTCATATGAGCCCCTTGAATAATAAATAATTATGAAAAAACACTGATACATATAGCTGCCCACCTTGCAGGCATGGTTGGACTATGAAGCCACCCTCCAACGTGGAGCGGCATCCTACGTTCACTACAGAACTTCCCGAAACCCTGGTGCAAGGACAGGTGGTTGACATCCATTCCAACACCCATTCCCTGCACAGGGTCCTCTTCAGCTAATTCAATTTTTTCCATGTAGCTGATGTTGCCGTCTGTCCTGCACAGGAGTGGACACACCCGGATGGCGCAGCTTAAGAATGCCTGCTTGGCTGCTTTGGAGGTGAAGTGCATCAGTTGTTTATGAAATGCATTCTTTATCCAGCAACCCAAATGCACCAAATGCGTACATGGTTATTCATATCCAAATTTTGACAGGACAATTGTGGCACTTCCGGCACTTCTGATGTCCAGACCTAAGCTTCAGGATTAAACTATATCTGTCCTTTTTATTTCTCACCTAGCATTTCGCTGAGGCCAAAATGGAGGTGGACTGCGGTGAACCCAGCCCGGAAACCGGTCATGAATTTGCAGAACTAGCGATGAATGTGTGGAACCAAGTCCTGTTGAAGAGGACACGCCAGGAACAACACCCGCAGGAGAAATTGAAACAAAAAAAAGAAAATGGAATATGCCATCGATGACTCCATCGCTGAAGACCCAAAGAAAGGTACCTACAAGGAGCTTTCACACATGTCACTGCATATATGTATATAGCATACGTCTCAAGTCACATCATAGGCATTTTTCTGCACATACATGTTTCCTTCTAGGACCGGGGTGCTCTTCTTGAAAAACCTGACCAACCTTTGCCTCTCAAAGTGCAAAAAGCTGTTGAAGATTGTCAACAAGATATGGGGGACTGCGATGGTGCTACTTTGATGCAGGCCTAATACATATATATGAAAACATGTATATGCATAATGTACATGCTTATTACCATCCCAAGTTCCAGTCTTCAAATCCTCGAGCTTGTTCAGGCGCAGAAGATGTTGAGAAAGGCCGCGGGGTGCAAAGAAGAGGAGAGAGGTGAAGAGTCCTCAGATCTATCTTCGGATCTTGCCACCAGAAAGAGACCTGCTATGAAACGCCCTGCCGCTGCTAGGGGCAGGGGAGCTTCGAGAGGGAGAGGCCGTGGCAGAGCCAGGGGCCGGGGAGACTCAGGCCCTAAAAAACCACCTGTTGTTCCAAAGGTTGCACCTGGGTCCAAAAGAAAGCAAAAGGACAAAGAAGTTGAAGAAGATAGCGCTCCTGCCAGTAGTAATAAAAAGCCAAAGGACACGAAGGGTGACACGAAGGACTGATAAAGTTTTCGTTTTTTTTCAGAAATATCCAATAATATTCATGTTGCACACTGCTGACATGTAATAATTGTGACTTTTTGGACACTGAAGGACGACCCAGCAAGTGACAAAGAAACTACCGACTTGGGAAAGCTAGTGGACATATCTTCCTCTTGCAAGTTCATGATGGTTCCCGAGAAAGCCTTGGCTGGGAATGCAAAGTTCTGGCCTTAATCAATTAGTGCGTCATACGGCATGCGCATGATAGGAACACGAAATTCTAAATGCCATGTCGGTAAGGTCATGGTCGCTGCCCCCACCGTCAGAGGGCAAGAGTGGTATCCAGGTCTTGCCAGCTTCCTAGTGAACTGCATGCACATTTGATTCTAGCTGGGCCCATTTGAACTGCTAAGGCTGTCCTGTCGGGCATTTTACATCAATGATGTAACCGATGCCAAAGACCGCATTGCGAAGTTCAATAAGCAATATGACACCAACTTCAAGGCAGAATTGTGTTACTTACGAACTTCCACCAAATTTAAATAAACCCCTTTCTCCATGCACCCCATTGCCAGGAAAACTGGAAGACTCCTCCCGGACTCAACATCGGCTGGATCAAATTTGCCGACCTGGAAAGCGCGTTGCATCCCCAGTTTACATGGGTGACCACCAAAACCCTCGTTTTATCATCCAAATGAATTATAGCCAATAATTTGGTTGAGGTGGTATGCTGCCAAACGCCTGGCAAATTGGGAGCAAAGATCGCTGAAATCTGAGATGGTGGACGTTGATTAGCTAGATATTTCTCCGTGGCGCCATTAACATGAATGGCTGACATTTTGGAACACTGGAACCCAGAAAAAAGAGATGCAATTGCAACCCGTTTTGGCCATTGCAACATTTCATACACCTTGCCATCTATTGTATATAGTGACGAGCGTTGCAATGCAAACTTTACCCATCACGTTGTTTTAATTCCCGCAGCCAGCCTCCAAAGGGCACAGCCATCCACATACTCTGAAACCATGCCGGTGCAAAACCGGAAGCCTCAGTGGATGGGCAAGAGCATAGCGCTGTCCCGATGCACAGTCAGCTTGCTGTTAGCATGTGGATTTCCAAGCATAATGTACGCATCTCAGTATATACTGAAATCACTGCGTTCCTCTGTTGGGATTTGATGCATATACTCAGGATACATCTATGTGATTTCCTGGCCCAGAACTATGATGAGGAATGAGTTATGGCCCCAGAGATTATCATGAATTATTATTATACTCATTTTAGGCCCATTGCCAATATATATATATAAGTTTTCATCAATGGAGCCGCCCTGATCCTAGGATTTGTTCGTCTACGATATGTTCGCTGGAAAGCAAAGCATATCCAGGGGCTTTCGTCCTGAGCCAAGTTTCATCCATCACAATCAGGATTCAATTCTGACATTATTTCAAACTGAAAAGTCTCACCTAATCCCATTAGCTAGGTGCACATGGATGCAAAACGCTGGGCTCCAAGTACTGAATCCCTTAGTTTGCTAATATATACCAAAAAATCAGATTCATTTTGTTACAATCCGCTGCACTTGAGGGATTTTCTGGAGTTCTCGGAGCGCCCAGAAGATGATTTGCTCACAGTGCCTAACCCTTAAAATCGAGCTTGCTGCAGCCCATAGATTAAACTTTGACCCACGCCGCGCTGAGGCAGGGGCTCTGCCGTGCCACCCTTGGCGTGCTTCGATTGGTGGTGGAAGGGCTGGCATTCGCAGGATTGCCATGTGGTAGCTTTGTATACTTAAACAGATCAAGTAGCAAGAGATCACGCAAAAGACCCCTTGGAAGCCAGAGACGGCTATATGTGAAACAAGCCAATACGTTTCTAGGCTGCATGTTTATATGCGTTTCAAACATGACCCATGGATTTTATAATGATATACGTATACTTAATTGTGCATGCATGCATATAATTATAAGCATGTGCGTGTGCACACTCCTAAACCCTGTCGCCGAATCCCAGGTTAGGAGCACGACTGATGATGTTGATGCTCTTGACTACGTTGAGATCAGCATTTTGGGAAACGGAGCAGCCAGGCTCCAGCTTGTTTATCTGGTTCCCTTATCTGCGCTTCTTGGCGAGGCTGTTTAAACACGAAGTTCCCATCCGGGTTGAACGTTTGCCGTGACCCCAGTATTTTTAAAATTTTAAATAATTGAAGTATGAATTGAATGTTAATGCCCTTCAGATCACACTGAAAAAAACACACCTCTCTTCCGCCCAGTTGGATGGCCTGGTTTGGATCTCGCACACCCAAGCCAAGCTTGGTTGTGGGGACATCGTTCTTGCCTCAATGGGTTAAGCTTCAAGATGCATTGTACATCAAGCTGGGACTTAAATATGTGTCTTACTTAGGCCATGGGCTGGCAAGTTGTACCGAAAGCTTGGAAAGGCTGACAAAGTAAAATTGGGTTTGACGTCAGAAGGTGTGGTGACAAAGAAACGCAAAGCTGATGGTTCCCTCTCTGTACTTGGTTCTTAGTTTACAGTCGACCCTACTTCTCAGCCTCTTCAGTTACAGTCCCAGTAGATCTACTTGGACATGGAATTGATAGACAAAATACATACATATAATATATATATATTACATATATATTTAAGACCCATAATTATTTAATTAATTATATTAATTATAACATACGCCCAGAGATTATATATATATTTACATATATATGTGTTCCCAATTGAGGTCCGGAGGGCCAAAGCTGAAACAAACTCAAGTATACCCAGATGGCTTTGGCCATGAAGTTGCCAAATTGCACCTCAAAACAATGGTCCAGCCCCAAGAAAATTGATTTGTTTTCTCCAATCCTGCTTGTTTCCCAAGACCCGTGCCCATGAGGAAGATAGCTGTGGCGAGCTGCAAGCCAGTGTGAAGTACCTGAGCGCCCATTCCATCCAGCAGGCCGGGCAGCTGACTGGGGTATTATCAACTGGATCATTAGAAAATTCCATGTTGTACCTCAATTCCATGTAGATGTTTACCTTCGATTCTGTCAGGGTGGGAAAAAAGCAAAAGCTCCGTTCCAATGGAAGCATGCGGACCTTGAGCCTGTTCGAAAATTTCTCCAAGAACAAATTGACTTGGGGAAGTATGAGCCTGCTTTTCCTTTCAAATAGAAAATTCAATTAGACATGCTACACTTACCCGAGTCGGTCCACCCAAAGAAGTATATAATTTTATACGTCGTATATGATATACGTAAATACCCGATGCTACGTACTCCTGGTTTATCATTATAATTATACGGAAAATGTTCAAAATATTCCTTCTTTGGGAGGATTTCTGAGGTATACCTGTGGCAAAGCTTTGAAATTTGATAATTCGCGACTGAACCCGCAAAAAACCTTGCGGGTGAAAATGTGTGAAAAGGCCGTGAAAAGCCCGTGAAAATGTGTGAAAAGGCCGTGAAAAGCCCGTGAAAACTGGGCCCCGACATGTCGCATTTTTTCCGATATTTTTCTCGTAAAAAAATCATGGACGAGATTGTAGGGCTGAGCCAGTTCACGCAGCTGATGGGATCAAGGTTATACACGTAGATTCCCCAGAAGGTTACAGCTTGGGTGGCCTCATGGCCAATGACATCATTTCTGATGTTCGCAAAAGGGCCCTAGCCAGGGCCGCAAAGGTTTCAAAGGCCATGGAGTCGAATAAGTACCAATCTCAACTATAAGAAACGCAGTTTGGAATTCTATGTGTGTTTTGATGCCATATACGTACCCAGATATATATCCCAGTTATATATCCCATCCAAGGCAAACTGTTCAAAAGCGTCATGATCGTATTTGTTGCCCATATCACTGCATTTCAAAATCCACATGTCCAGCCCTTCCCTGTTGTCTGCCAAGGCTCAGATACTGGAGCACCACGGATCAAGCGCCAAGGTCGTCCTGTTGAGCCACTTCAGACCCCTCCGTCGAAGAGGTTTCGACGGAAGGGTTCTGATGCCACTGTCAGCAGGGTGTCGCTGGATTCCCAAGATAGGTTGGCAATGTCTCGTCTAGATACACTTGAAATGGTGAGCCCACCAAAGGTTCCCACACCCAAGAAGTTGAGCATGACCCCAGAAGCAGTGGCACCAGTTGACAAAGTTGACACGCCCAGCAGTGACTCACAGAGCAAGCAGCCTTCCCCGTCTGAACGCACTAGACAGTTTTTGCAGCAAAAAAAGGAAGCAAGAGCCAGCAGTGCCGCCAAGAAAGCAGTTGCGAAGCCAAAGGCTTCCAGCAAGAAAACAACGCCCAAGAAGACAAACAGGAAAGGCACCAGCGCTAAGAAAGCAAAAAGTACCCGTATGAAACTCAAGAAAGAAGTTCTTGCAATTCTGGATGGTGGGCAACAGCCCACAGCTGCCACCACTGAGGATTCTACCAAGCCTTCCCCGAAGGCAAAGGCAAAGGCAACACCGAAAGCATCCCCGAAACCGTCCCCGAAAGCTCAGAGCAGGAGGGCACGTAGCCAGGAAGCCACTGATGTTGCACAGTCAGCAGCGACAGAGGATCAGGCAAGTGATGAGGAAGACACAACAGAGATCGACAAATTGGCCCACAAACTCTACATGCGCTACTGGAGGTCAATGAACAAGAGCCGCTTTGTTTGCGATTCTTTTGCATGCCATTACAGGTGAATCAGCTAAGTATTTAGTTGTTGAATATTTGTTTGAATGAGGATTATACGATCATGATCCTAGGCCGGACAACTCCAGCCGAAATCAAAGCCTTGCACAAGCGCTTCAGATACTGCCTTGGCCCAAGAACCTACATAACCCCTTGCTGTTCCATCTGTGTTGTGTACTATTTTATTTTATAGCGTTCCTATTTGCCAGCTCCATTTTTGAGGCAAGGACCAGCAGAGCGCCTTGTACGAGGACTTCTTGAAGTGCGGGGGCCGTTGGACTGAGAGTTCGATCTACAAGGAGATTACCAACACCCACATTGGGAAAAAGAGGGGTGTTCGTCGTTGGCTCACAAAGAGCCAAATGAGGCAACACTTTGATGCTGATATTGTTGAAGCCATAGCCCACAGAAAGAAGAGTGACCCAGAGCTTGCAATCAATGAAGTGAGATCCCACCCAGAACACGAACAGCTGGAGCAGTTTCTCGTTTTGATCGAAGATGAAGAAGAACAAGTAGAAGAAAATAGGGTATCCGACATGTTTCAGTTGAAACAAACGAAAAAGTCAAGCAGCTGCAATGTCACCAGTGAAGATGATGGTGATGAAGAAGAAGAAGAAGAAAGTTCTGGAGATGAGGACCGCACCACATTGATCTTGATCCAATTTGTTCCCATGGCCACACTTCTAATTTATTCCAGTTCTAGATCATCAATTTACCTTGAGCTACAGGATTCCCCTAAGAAACCTAAAAAGACGAAGAAGGGAGGGAAGTCCAAGAAAGGCAAGGTACGCAATAGCAAGAAACAGAAGAAGCCGAAGAGCAAGAAGAAGAAGAGCAAGAAGTCAAAGAATAAAAACAAAGCAAAGACCGTTGAAGATGAACAGAAGGAAGCCCGCAAAGAGCTTGTGAGAAAGGCCAAAAAGGCCAGACCTGCAAACAATGTGTTTATCTTGGTGCAGCTCGACTTCCCTTTGGTGGAGTTTGTAAATCTACTAATATAAATATATATATATATCGCTTTGCCAGGTGATCCAAGACTTGAATAAGAAGATCCACGATGCAAACTCCAAAAAATTGTCGACCACCAGCTGGCCGCTAGCTCAGTAGCCTTTTACGTATATATGCATGTAGTCTCGAATATATTATTATATATGTTTTCCTCAAAATGTGGGTTTTAGTACACGCTTAGTAAACTTCCAACCCTTCATGCATGAGGTCTGAGACTGTCCGGAAGGCCATGCTGGCTGAAGTCGATTCCCAGACCGGAGTCCTGGGCAAGATGCGCACGAACTTGCAGAAGGCCTTGGACATGGCAGCTGAGGACAGGGGTCTTGCTTCAGCCACTGGGGGGGGGAAATGATAATGTAATTGAAATTCATCCATTCGGGTTCATTGGGTTTTCAATTGATATGGATTTGTCCAGGATGCAGTCCTTGAGAAATACATCAAGTCCGCCACTGATGCCATCGATGTTTTTGACTCCAAAATGGAACCGATCACTGGAAAGAAGCGACGTCAGGGGTCCAGTGACAACGTGTCCGTTAAGTCTTAGGTACCAGGATCCTTAGGCCTCTTGGAAAGATTTGGAATTAGCTAGCAGTTTTGGGTGCCCACTTAAAAAAAACAAAACATTTCATACTGCTGTCTTCGTGAGGCATGGATCCACTTAGGGGTTGGCAGACATGGCCATAGAAGTGGAGTTGACATACTCTACTGCGGTTCATGTGGAGCCTGTTGTGGCACGCGCCACGATCACTACATATCTATCGCTCAGGACCATGGAAAAAATGAACCCTTGCATTGGTGTATTTCAAGTTGAGTAGATCGATGACTCCAATTCGATGCTGGTGCCAGGTGCCTCGTACCAACCCCTGGTTAGATCTTTTATATATATATATATCCTAGGTATTTATAATATATGTAACATATTTTCCCCCCTCGCAGGTGAGCATGATGATCATGAGAATGATCGTGAACATCAACTTGGTGAATTTCTCGATGCTGTTGCCAGTGGGGCCCCTTATCTCAAATAGATTCAAATAGCAGAAAATCCCAGGTCTCCACGCTTGCTGCAATCCGGCTCCAGGCCTCAATTGCAAAGCAAATGCGGTCTGCGCAGGCAAGTGTTCAAGACCCTTGGCTGGATCTAAAGTTTGAGTGCGTGGGTTAATCTTGTCCAATTGGAATGAAAACACCATTATCCCAAGGACACTCCACATGGGCTTCCTAAGCCAATCAGCAAACTGGGAAGCTATTCGCGTTTTAATTTTGCAAGAGACTTCCGAAGTGTGGTCAAGCCGCCACTGGACTGGGCCAAAAAACATGTACCATGATGTTCAAATTCTTTTAAAATTATTTTAGATTTGGTTTTTGCCCAAGCTTAAACAATTGCGAGGAGATGCAATGGGTATCAACGAAAGTCAAAGGTAAACTTGCTGAACATGAACCTGTTGATCGAGACATACCCCTTTTCTTACCAGAGCAATTGGTGGATTTTCTGTTTAATGATGCGGGAGTACATATAGATGAAGATGATGTGCAACAATACTGGGCCCATGCCCGGGCCCAGAGTATCCCTTGGGCGTCAGCATCAGATGACGGCCAACACTACCCGTTAGCTCTGTACGGGGACTCTGCAAAGTTTTCTGCTGCAGGTGACAAGATTACAGGGATATTCATGAGCATGCCTCTCTTCGATCCGAGAAGTGCTCGGTTCTCCCGCTTCTTATTGTGTGCGCTAGAATCTCATTGCATCGTGGGGATGCAAACTCTGGGTCCATTGTATCAAAAAATAGTTGATTCAATGTGGAAGCTGTACACTGAAGGATTATTCATTAAGGCTAAGGGACGCAAAGTGAAATTCTGCACTGTGGAGATACGAGGTGATTGGGAGTGGCACTCTGTAGCTTTTGACTTTATTCCAACATGGCGATCCGACCAATTTTGTTGGAGATGCGAGGCTGACAAAAAGAAGGACCCTAATTTTCTCGATTTTTCTGAGAACCCGGCGTGGAAATTGACAGAGAGGAGCAATACAAAGTTCTTGGCCAATTGTCTTCGAAGTCCTCCTGGTGGACCTAGTGCCGTGGTGCAATGGGCAACACTCATCAGAACAGGATGGTAAAAATCATGATTTTTGGAATCCAAACAAATTTGCCTGGGATGTAATGGGTCGAGATTCAAACCAAATCTGAGGTCCATTGATTCTATTGCCGAAATTCCACTACTCGACGATCAGACACTGCAGTATGCACAACATCAATCTTGGATTTGCACAAGTCGCTTGTGGTTCCGCACTGCTCCTAGGATTGAACTACTACATGTATCACCATTAACAATCTCCAGCATCACGATAGTCACCTCCCTGTGCTTAGGCTTTTGCTGACGGAATTGAACTTCTTTGGGGACATTGCTGCAATGTCATTTCAAGACAGACTGGTTGTCGCATACAAGGATTTCAAAGCGTGGTGCCGGATGAACAAAATATATTGTTCACATGGGCTTTTCACTCCAAACAGTGTTGCCCAGTATTCGAATTAATTTAAGTCTTGGTTTTGGCACACGATTTTATTTCATAGTTATAGGTTATAGGTACGATCATTTTTTTGGCGACCTGATCATGTAACAGCCAAGGTATACAAGGAAAAGACGCTAGGGGCCCATATATCGAGCAAAGCATACAACTGCAGAGTTCTGATCTCATGGCTTTCGTCCTGCTATGCCATTGTTGTTTCTGGCACCTTTGAACCTGGAAGATTGCTGGGACTTTGGCTTTCAGAGAATGACCAAGAATGGCCTGAACATGAGATGATCTATCCAACAGCGATAGCTATGACACTTTCCGTTGACTAGAAAAATCATGGACATGTCCCAGAAAAGCAAAGTGACTAACATGTTGGTTGGTGGTCAGCCATGAGCCTAAGCTCAATCAGCCCAGACCAATCTGAGGAATGCACTCTCTCGCAACATGTGGCTGGTGGAGACTTCTCCGCGGTACTTGCGGCCTGGCTGTCTCTGGTCAACAGCTTGTGAATGGTTGGGCCGTCCCTGTGATTAATAAGGACTGGTGAGCAAGCCGAATCAATTTACCAAACTGGAATGCTTTTTCTCCGAACTCATATTCTATTGACCCAGTTGGCTGGAAGGCGGGATAGGTTAACATGAAAATTGATTTGTGTGTACATTGGCATTCATGACCCCCATTTATATTTAAATTTGATTATAATTCCTTTGCAGGTTTGGCCTACTATTTTGGGTCTTGATACCCAAACTCCACGTAACTTGGGGGCACTTAAGCTGTACTGCAGTGATGGTTTAATTTCAACTCCATAGTCATACTGCGCGGCCTAGATGTACCATCATCAGCTACGCGATGCAAGGTCTACCAGAACCTTGTATTGATATTTTCTTTTGCAGTGCAAGATAGAAAGACCGGTGATATACAAGGAATGCTACAGTTTCCCAACCGAGGACTTAATTGGAGACATTTCCATACCTTTTTGGATGAAGACAACATGAAATGGCTGAAATGCCGCTCATCTCAATTAAAAGATCAATTAAGTTCTTTCACCGAGTACATGCACCTGCCTTCAACTTTTGAATTTAGGTATCTGTCAAGGGGCCAATCGACGGTGTCTTGAAAGATCCTGTCTGAAATCCTCGCAATTTAGGCTGGGCATACCTATACCCTGAATTACGCTTGATAGTTCCCCTTGACCCTGGAAGGCTCTTGGCAATGCGTCGACACATCCGCCGATTAAACAACCGTTCACAAGCCCGGGCAAAAAAGACCCTGCCGCGCCTTGTGAGTTTCTTTCGGCTTTGAAGCTGCGCTGTGTTGTGGCTGCTGAAGTCGTGACAACGCGTCTGAGGGGGATAAGGTTAAAACATAGATGAAATATCACCAAAAAATGGTATAGAGTAAAACATGGCCTTTAGGTAAACCATGTCCTTTGTGATAACGTGCTTAGTAAGCCAGTGCTCTTGAAGCTCTGGGTAATAATATTATGACAGTCGTATATATATATATGTATATAATCCCTTCACCCTAACTAATATTAAACGTCCCCTCCAAAATAACAAACTTAGGGGTAGTTTTTAATATTTGGGGGAGAAGCTGGCTCCCAATACTAAAATAAAAAGCTTAATTAAAAACTAAAATGGTTGATTTCAAAATCAATTAGATTCCCTTTTAAAATCTAATTGAGATATTGCCAACAATTGGAGTTCGAAGCTTTCCCCTAGTATTAGCAAAAAAACATTAAAAAAAACTAAAATGTCTGATTTCAATATTGATTAAATTCCGTTTTAAAGTCTAATTAAAATATTGCCAAAAATTGGATTTAGAGGCTTTCCCCTAATAATAAATTTAAAACCTTAATTAAACAAACTCAAATTTTTGATTTTAACAAACGGACCCTAATAAAAAACCTCCCGGGGTTGACTAGTTTTTACTGTATTATTCAGGGGGTAGAACCTTCAAATGGACCTTGATTTTTAAATCGTTTTCTAAAGGGGATCAATTTAAAGTCAAATTGACCAATCTGAAATTTCCCAAAACAAATAATATCGGGTAGTTGTTATTCTTTAGGGGAGGTTTAGTAGTAGGGAGAAGGGACTATATGGTTTTATGTTCATTTTTTATTTTTATTTTTTTTTCGAAGGTTATTCTTATTTATGTTCATTATATTTCATTATATAGATTAGAAGGTTTTCATTATAGAGTTTCTGATTGGTGATTTGGAACATTTTTTTCCATATATTGGGAATAATAATCCCAACTGACTTTCACTCATATTTTTCAGAGGGGTCGGTTTTTCACCACCAAGCAAATAGTAATTATCAACCATGAGTCATCACTAATCACCATTTATCATCATTAAACCACCATTAAATCACCATTAATCATCATTAATCATCATTAATCACCACTAAATCACCATTTACCATGTATCAACCAGTAGAGCCTTCATGTGTTTTCCTTTCCCTAAACAAATCTCCATCTTTGGAACGACCTGGCGAACCTGGCGCACCAGGTGCGATGACTTTGATCGGCCTCAAGGAAACAGGGAATCTCGGGATGTTTTTAGCCACAGCTGGGTTACTCAATCTGGGTAAATTGTAACGACCTCACTACGACCTCACTGGAAATCATGGTAAGGGAAATCATCCCCAAATGGCCGAACTATTCAGGTTAGTGAAATATTATAATTTACCCAGACTCAATGGGAATTTCCCTTACATAGGCCTGAAAAATAGGCCTTATATATGGTAGGTACCTCCAATAAATTGGTTCCTTATATATGGCCATTGAGTTACCCGGCCTGGTAAACGTTTACATAACGAACTGGAAAAATCCACCATGCTATTAAGCTGGGTAAATATCCACTATTTCGACTGGGCCATGGCTTCAATAGCTATGTAACAAATTACCGGAGGGTATGTCAAACCTCAAAAACGAGAATTTCCCCGATCTTATGGATATTTTACCTGCAATTTATTTGAGAGTTACTAATCTGGGGATGTAAAATGATATAAAATCAATGATCGAGTTGACATGAATTGACACTATTCATGTTGTCATTTATCACTATTGTAGTAGGATTTGACTATTTAGTCGATCTTGTCGGGGTTGGTCAAAAAACGCGTGTATCTAATCTGAATCCAATCTGATCTACAATGTAACCTATGTATCATTGGCTATCTATTTAATGTGACCCTAGATTTTCTAGTTTGCGCTGGTAGTTTCAATGAATGTTCATTGGTTACATATATATATATAATATGTATATCTATATCTATATATATATTCATAACCAGAATATACCAATATCACCACAAAAGATCACACACAGCTTTTGTTCCAATCATTGAGTATCCACAAGTTCTGCTGCTTCGTCAAGGATTTGCCAATGCTATTCCACCATTGAGGCCGTGAAGAACGTCCACGTCCTTCATGGTCCCGAGTGGGGCTTGAGTCAATGCCTCGGTGGCTGGTTGTATCCATCTTACGGAATATGGGGAACCAAGAAACTACAAATTGACCTTCCCAAGCACATGATGATGTTCATTCTCTTGCATCATCTCAAAAAAAGCTAAAACATGTTAAAACCACCAAAACAATGGAGGGTATTTGAGACTTTTTTGGGGTAGCTTGATTTTGTGTTTTCTAGCAGTCTGATTCTACCAGGAAAAGGTCTGGGTGGATATTCTGGGGATGTTTAGGGCATGTTCACAGGGTTTCTGGAGTACAGCATGCCACATCCCATTCCCACGTTTCTATAATTTCTTTAATTATCTATTTGTCAACCTGTTGTGTGAATACTAGAGACGTATAAAAATGTGCCTGCAACCAAGTAGCGGAGGTTTCAACACCTGCAAGACAGTGAATTGCATTTGTAGCCACCAAATTTCCCAATCTTTGAGACAGCACCAATACATGGGTCAAACCGTGGTTCATGCGTTGGTTCAAGCGTCTAGTCATTCACTCAGCATCCGGTGCGAAAATTTGGTGATTCAACCGGCGATGTCCGTGGCTCGGTCGAAAGATTATTTTCACCACGACCCAACGAAGTTTGTTTCCGGCTTTTCCGAACTAAACATGTTTGTTTCTGTCCCAAAAAAACGCCTGTCGTTGGTTATACCCTCTGGTAATTTAACGTAGCTATTGAAAATGGCCATTTATAGTGGAGTTTCCCATTAAATGGTGATTTTCCATAGTTATGTTAGTTTACCAGATGGTATAACGAATCTTGTTCTTAAGCTGAAACATCTAACTGTTCGTTGCCAATCCATCTCGCCAATCCCTTGATTAAGTTGGACGACTTGTGGCCGTTGCAGCGAAAGTCGTCTCTATGTCCATCTGTTCCATTTGCATTTTTCTATTCCTGTATATATATAATATATATATACATACATAATTATATATATATATATTCGTCTTATATCATTGTTGTGAGTTGAGATAGTTGAGTCCCGCAGGCGCACAGTTCATGCCACCATGCTTGCTTTCAAATTGTGAATAAAGGCTATAATCATTAGATATCATTAGTATTTTTTTGTGAAGTATGAAATCAATTGAAATCTCGGGCCGATCCCCCACGACTTTCATGGTCTGAAAACACCGTAAGGCGATGAATCTGGATCCGTTGGCCAGCTATGTCAAGCAGCGGGAGGGACAGCGCGTGATTCGGAAGATCCTGATCTCCAACAATGGCATGGCTGCTGTGAAGGCGCCGGAAATCCAATTCGTGATTTTGTCTGGTGATTTAATGGTGTTTTAATGGTGATTAATGATGATATGCTGTGTTTGTTTTGTGTTTTGTCTGATTTTTGCATTCGGAGCCTTGATTCAGCCCCTATCTCCCCAACAAATGCTGATGATGACGATGACGATGATGATGATGATGATGAGGAGGGCCACCTCTTGTGAGGCAATTCTGTCGATGAGGCGTTGGACCTTCACAGAGTGTCTTGGAGCAGCTGATAACAGCTGCTAAAGCCCGGAGAAGAAGTGAGGTTGGATTCTACTACCCTTTATAAGTGTATAATTGGGTATCATTATATATATATATATTTATATTATATATATATACATGTATTGGGCACAAAAATCCGCGGAATCCGGTTCTTAACCAACCAGAATTAAATGGAATGACAGAAGGATTTTTAAAAATACTCAGATGTGTTGGTGCAGTGTGCAGGTTTGGGTTTTGGTGTAGGAAGAAAAAGGAAATAGATGGACATAGTGCATCAGTTGGATCAGGAGTTGGTGTTGTTGGTGGATGCTGGGGGATGCTTGTTACAGGAGAGCTTGGTACTGGTGCTTGGGATACCATTGGGCTCTCGGTAATACTGCAGGTGTTGGTGCTTGAGTACTTCGGAATAACTCGTTTGTGAGTGATGCTGCACGTGCAGGAGTCCAGGAGTTGGTCTTTCTATGATACTGGTGATAACTTTTTGAACACGTTAAACACATGTTTAAAAAACCAAGGGTTTTTCACCACAACTGATGCCTGCCCTGAATTCCTCACATGTTTTGGGAAGGTCCCCAATTGTTGGCACAATATCTCGATGTCTCGGTGCCAATGCTTCCACTGTTTGGTGACTTAAGCATTCTTTTGTAGCATAAACAGGCCACAATTGGGCCATTGTCTTCTCTTTTTTAGAAACTCTTCTGTTTTAGGACAATTGTTTATAGTTCGATGATTTTCCCAGTGAACATCGTCAGCGTCCCCCAGGTTCGGTTCCGAGCAGCTCATTACTTTCGTGGCAATGGCCACCCCGGACGATCTCAACGCCAACGCGGAGTTCATTCGCTTGGCCGATTTTTTTGTGGAGGTTCCAGGTGCGGCTCCGTTACGCGTAGTGTGTTGGGGTTCCGGTGAATGGTTGCTGGTTGCTGAAATCTGGATGCATATTACCCATCATGAGCATAGTTGTTTGAATAGTTTGGATATTGTTAAATTGTCTCCATCATATAATAGTTTGGATATTTCCACTATATTTCTGGATCATATTATCCATCATTGTCTCCATCCGTAGAAATTTTCATAGGATCCCACTAAGCCTTGGTTCCTTTGGCAAAAAGTCATCACTTTGGATGCCAAGCGCTCGGAAAGCAGCGCGTTTTCACTATATTAGATGTTTCTGTGGCCAGAGACGGCTAGACTTGCATATCTATAGTCGATATATTATGTGTATATATATATGTATATATATATCATGTATAGATGCACATATATGTCATTTCCTGAGTTAACAAACCATTTCCATCATGGATATACAAAAAGACACTAAAGTATATGGCTATGAGTCAAAGCCCAAGCACCCTAAGTAGCCTAAAATTATTGCTAGTATAGCTGGATGTTTATTCCCCCAGTCATATGGTAATGCCATGGGTAACTTGACCCATCCCTATATGTGACCTCAAAGGAGAAACAACTGGGTGCGTTTTCAGTGACTGAACAAAAAAGTTTGGCGTATAGCCCGAAATTCAACCACTGCAATGTAGGGGCCCCAGTTCTTTACTAAGTTAGTTTACAATTTAATTAATTCAATTAAGAAGGGTTTATGAAAGTTATACAAGTGCAGTTGATGTGTGAAATCCATGTATACATATATAAAACCAACAATAAATTGTCCCCAATATCACCAGAAATGGCTGGTAGAACCCCTCCAAAGATAGTAGGTTTATGGCATTTTGTGACTCCACATTAGGTGGGAGATGGTGGGAGCATAAACCAACAGACAATCAGACAGAACTGCATGGGCCCACCCTAGCAATCCAACCATGATCGAGGTGGCAAGAACGTGAACAACTACGCCAATGTGGAGCTGATCTGCCGCATTGCTAAGGAGCAAAAGGTGCGGGGCCAACTGGGTGCCCCAAGGGTTGGTCCAACTGGTGTAGAGACAAGCCCTGCGCCAGGTGGACGCGGTCTGGCCTGGTTGGGGGCACGCCAGCGAGAACCCGAAGCTGCCAGCCACCCTGAAGGAGAACGGCATCATCTTCATCGGCCCACCTTCAGGTGCAGGGGCCGGCCCCCCCAAGCTGTCATCCGGATCGGGCCCTTAGGCTCCCATCATCCAACTTTTTTAAAAAGAAGTGCCCCATCTTGGGAGCCCAGTTCAGTTCGATCATTTGGGGAGTTGCTGAGTCACCATTTCAAAGTTTAAACAACTGTTTTACTGATCACTTGAGTGTCACTTGAAAGGTCAAACTTGAAAGGCAGGACCTAATTTAGATCACTTCAACGTCACGATTTTTTTTTGTTTACCCTCTGGTAATTTAACATAGCTATTGAAAATCACCTTTTTTAATGGGAAAACTCACTATAAATGACCATTTTCAATAGCTATTTTGACATAACCAGAGGGTAAATGTTCCACTTCCCTCAGGACGTCAGGTTCCGTCGTTGCAGGTTGCATGGCTGCCTTGGGCGACAAGATCGCGGCCAACATCTTGGCACAGACTGCCAAAGTGCCCAGCATTCCTTGGAGTGGAGACGGCCTCACCTGCCAACTCACCGAGGATGGGCAGCAGTAGAAACCCGAGACCTGGCTCGCCTCAACCCATTTTTCATGGATGAAACTTGGTATTTTGGTAGTAGGTCATAAAAAGTGCTAACAAACATGGGGTAAATACTAAATTACTTTACTTCGAGTGATCCCCACCCTGACACTTATTTGCCATAGTTTCTGACATACAATCTGGACATATATGGTATAATCTTCTGACATTCTATTTTGGCATTCTATTTGGCATTCTATCTGACATTCTATTCTGGCATTCTACCTGGCATCTATTCTAACATCCTATTTGGTATCCTTTGTGGCATCTATACTGACATTTTCTCTGGCATTCTATTTGGCATTTTTTCTGCCATATGTTCTGGCATACGTTCTTGCATGCTATCTCGCATTCTATCTGACATTCTATTCTGGCATTCTACATCCTTTTCTGGCATTCTATCTGGTATATCTTCGGTGGTTGAGGTCCGGCAGGGAACAGTCTGATCCGGAGCTCGCGGTCGAGGTCCGGCGGGGAACACTTTGATCCGGAGCTTGCGGTGGAGGTCCGGCTGGGATCACTCTGATCCACAGGTTGCTGTTGGGGTCCGGCGGGGAACACTGCGATCTAGAGTCCTAGAGGTTGCAGTTGAGGTCCGGCGAGGAGCGGAGGAAGGAGGAAGGAAGGAGAAAGGAGGAAGGAAGGAGGAGGCGGGCAGGCTGACATACAATCCAACAACCCTCACCTGACATGTGGGGAAAAATACTAATGTTGATGGATTCTTTCAGAGTCTAGGAATTACCTGCTGAAGTTTGGATCAGGTTCCAGCAAATTGGCTGGTCAGGTTACACAAACCGCTTGCTAGGGAAGGCGCTCACCAGATGCTCTGCTGTTGTTCATGCAAAACCATGATGAAACACTGCTTTCACTCCAAGCAAGGTAGTGCATGTTCAAGAGTGAATACCGGTAATCAAACGTAGCAATGGCGAATTTGCCATTTATAGATGATTTTTCCCGCTAACACATCCCTTTATAGGGGATTTTCCATTGTCACATCTGAAGCCTGCAGGAGGGCACCATCCCAGAGGACATCTTCAACAAGGCTATGGTCACAAGTGCAGAAGATGCGTGCGCACGAGCCGAGAAGATTGGCTTTCCCATCATGGTCAAGGCCTCTGAAGGCGGGAGGATGGGGTTTCAATTCTGCTATTCCATGATGTTTTTGTTGATGATGATCATGATGACGACGATGATGGTGGTGATGATTGCATATAATGATGACTTTCAGTATGTTTGAGTAGTCATGTAATTGTTCATATATGGAAGCTTCCTAAAATAGGGGTACCCCCAAATCATCCAAACTTTGACTCATAGAATTGGATGATGGGAAAATTTACAGCTTAAACCAACCCAATGATTGACAATTTTTTAGTAATGAAACCCATGGTGACTTGGGGATTGATCTCTCACAGCTGACCCCTGCAAGGTGGCGGAGGAAAGGGCATCCGTAAGGCCACCAACATGGAGGAGCTGCAGAGCCATCGATGTCAGGGTAGCCATGGGTAGCCATGCAGGCCATACTTGGCCATAGCAACCCTCCAAAAAAGATGCTGAAAATTCCTTGGAAACCTGGAAGTGATTTGGAGAACACATCATCGAACTACTGAAAAACTGGAAACATGATGAAATATATGTCTATGTTTGATCTATTAACTGCAATGTGGGGCCCGAGTTTGTTAGCGAAGTTAGTCATAGTTGGTCTATAAACTGGGTTAAGTATGGTTTTGTCATGGTTGTAAGATGTTTAAGTAAAGTAACTTTAGTAATTACTTTAGTTAGATGGGTAGTAACTATATAGTTAATAATTGCTATAGTTAGATGGGTTTATACACCAACTTATAGCTCGGGGGCCCCACCTTGTGGAGATATTCCATGCTTGAATGTGTTCTGATATGATTCGCTGGGACGCATATCCAAGTAAGCACAACGGTTTGATTTTGCCACTTCTAATCTAATGTGGCAAACCCAATGCCATCAATCAGCATCGCAGCAGCTGATCATAAAGGGGAGTCACAAAAAAACATCACTCCAACGAACAAGGTATAATCGATTCCAAAAACTCCATTTCATTGCTTTTTGAGTTTTATTGGGTTAGCCTAAGCCGCAAGTAGTTGCATTCTTTTGTGAATCCTATCCTGTGATGATTGACCATGAACTGACCATAGGATATTATTCAGATGAATTCCTGTCACTTCAGGGCCCTCAGGGCATCCAATTGCTGTCCAATGAAGAGATCTGGATGTTTTCACTGGAAACCAACCTGAATTCTGCGACATTTCATGACATTCCATGACATTTGATGATAGCACTTGGTGCTTACTGATTCTTGGCCCTCTTGATCATGCTTGAGATGCCACCCTCTGGCATTTTACCTGGCACAGATCCCCCCCCCAGTGATATCTGTTCAGGACCAGTCATTCGATGAATGTCTCTAAAATGGGATGTAAAATATCTATATACAATTTATGTCACTACCCCCATTTCCAACCCCAAATCGACATGACTAAATTGACTAAATGTCCCCATGTTACCTTCCCGGCTCATCCCTCAAAGTCATCCCATCACAAGGAGTTGAAGGTGGCCTTCACCAACGTCTTCACCGAAGTGCCTGGCTCCCCCATCTTTCTGATGAAGATGGTGTCCAAGGCCCAGATGATCCCAAAGGACATTGACTTTAGACGTAATGATTGCACAATTTATATTACTATTTATATGAGTAGTCTGAATCTGTTGGAAATGATAGACTCTAGGTATTCAAATTCTTATTAATCCCATCCCCTGGATCAGTTTGTAGATGCTCCCAAGTTTTTGACCCGAAATGGTTTATATAGGTGCTCCCAATAATAACTGATCCGACATGAACAGATGCAGTACCAAAAGACATTCTTTTAAGGGGATTAGAGGCGCATGGTCAAGATGATCAACCGACCATGGCTTGTTTTGGATATGTGTGACGACCCGAGTCGTTGTGCATTTCAGCATGCGGGCCCTGTCCTCACTGTTGAGGGCTCAAGCATCATGTAGAACAGCCTGCGCAGTCCGCAGAAAAGGGTACCAGCCTCATAGAGGAAATGCTTATGAAAGGTGTCTGGCGAGATGAAGGCGTCAAAGCAGTAGAGCCAACCCACGATGAAAAGAAAAGCATTCATGACCGAATCCTGAAGTATGGCATGTGTCTGGCATGCGGCAAGCAGTGTGATGACAATCACGCAAGGTCCAGTGCGCACCAACGGGTGCTCAAGGAAGAGTGCCAGCTGGACCGGCTGTCGGCTGTTTTGCACGCCGGCTCCTGGGGTTGGCCTGCGGCGATGGGGTTCCGGTTGCAAGGTTTGCACCAAAAAGGGCCTCATGGAATACTTTGGTCGTGCTGTCTTCGAGCTGCGGAGGTGCTGGACAAATTTTCTGATGGCCGCTGTGCTTTCCTGAAGCGTCTTGGGTTGGTTTCAGGCGATTTTTTTTTAAAATGTCCCCATGCCCAATGGGAAGAATCAATCATGTGGGGATTCCATAATAGGGAATACTGTGTTTTTTCTTTTTTTTTGAGCCCCTTTAGCACATGCAACCAAGACGTGGAAGCAGCAAGAAATCAAAATCGGATATGATGACGAAAGAGTCCATCAAGGGGACTCACTTTGTGGCTGTCAAGTACAGTGCAAGCAATGGGATTTAATTATTCGAATTCTCAATACGACAAGTCCATGCTCCGGCTGTACCATGACATCCCTGATGACGGTCCACTCCCTGACCCAAATGCAAGTGGGAGTGTGGAGAATGCGCATGCAACATGGTGGCCCGTTATCATCTTGCAATTGCATGATGATTCTATGGAGGTGGTCCGGGAAGTGACACCCGGAGGTCTACGTGATAATTTGTCTTTATCACGTAGACAAATTATCACGTAGACATGTCCAGGTGTCACTTCCCGAACCACCTCCACAGAATCATCATGCAATTGCGTTGTCACAGACCCAATTTGGGCCTGGACGATGATGTCCAGGCCCAAATTGGGTCTGTGACAACGCAATTGCATGATGATTCTGTGGAGGTGGTTAGAGTGATTTCCAGTCATCCGCTGTCCAGGGCAAGGGGTGCATGCGCATCAGTGTTTGGACGCATTTGAAATGCTTCCTGTATTACATATTGTGTAAAATATGTGTTCGTAATTACATCTTGGATCTAGAATCATGTCAAAGAATAAACCAATAAGTATCTCATAATATTACAGAATCAATTAACATAACATGTAAATACATATATATATATATATTTATTTATTTATATGTTGGTATCCTTAATTTAACAGAGTGATTGACTATGATTTTCTTGTTTTGGCAACGCACCCCAGCTGGTACCCTGACTCTGTAGCGTTGTGGCGTTTGCGCCGGGCCGATGGATGATGGGGAGGGCATGTGAGCCAGGGATGCCAGGGAAAATGATGGCTGGGCCCGATCCAATTGGCAATGTTTTTGGCTCTGCAAAGCAGAAGAAGTGACAAATTCCCAACGTCATGTTCAATCATGTTGCTTTGATCATACATTTCCTGACCTTCGTATAAGTCGCGAATGGGTTGTATGATATCATATGATTTCGTATGTAGCTTGCGCAAGCCCAAAATGGGTTTGGCTTTTGGTTTCACATCTTTTACAACCTGATTGTTGTGTTGTGGCGCCCACGCCGGGCCAACATCAAAAGGCGTCAACGCGCGCGGTGGACCACTGCGCTTGCTGGTGGCCCGGCGTGAGCGCAATAATTATTTCAACGGACAATGATGCACGACGGTATACTCGTCTACAGTTCATGCGCATCTCATAGAATTTAATTTATAGATTGGAGATGTTGTGATGAAACAATTAACAATTTATGTAATTGTAAATATCATATTTTCAATAATTTTGACTATTCGCAACATTCAGCTTCCAGACATAGACAAATTCACTTACAGGAAGCTTTTGTCTCTTGTCTTCATACTTTGTATGTAGTCATGAATCAAATTATATTGGAATTGTGCATCAGCTAGTAGATTTTTCAAGTACAGCTGGCTGGACTGCAGTTGTGTGTCCAACCAATGCAACAGCACGCCCCAGACCAATGATGTGCAGATCTAGTGCACGGCACGGCAAGCTTCAAAAGTTGCGGCCGCTTCTGTGGCATCAAGGCGTTTCTGTTGCTTGAGTGTGTATGTCCAACTTGACACATGTCTCCAGACCTTTTTCCTGTGCAGCAGGCCTAGGGGCTGGAGGAACAGATGCCATAGGCCTGGTCCTCGGTGCCCACTTGAGAGCATCTTTAGCAGTATACTTCACTATCAAAGGTGCTGTGACAGCATCCTTAGGAATTTATTATCATTGAGGTGGTTTGCATTTTTTTTTATGCGTAACCAAATCTATCAGTGAGACACACCTTGTACACACACACAAACAAAAAATGTATACCAATGTGTCAGTACTTATGGGTTTCCCATCTTTTGCAAGGAATTGATACCTACTGATACCGTAGCTTACATGTGTTGTATGGATCTCACTCCAGGATTCTAAAGTGCAAGTATACATATGTATATATCACTGGTATCAAAAAAGGTGTAAATGTACTCGTCTTCATAAACTGGTCATTCTGGAAAACCATTTCAAGGAAAAGTTGATTATAGATCCAGACATGTATGACTGTATGGCTGTACATGCTTGTCATTGCTACCGTGCAATTACTATGTGCTGTATAGTCAACATAACTTTGATATACATGTGTCTTTATGGCGTGTACTGTATCATTGGTTGCGTTCTTTGGGTGACAAGTGGAGCAGCCAGCATTTGACATGACAAGACTGATGATGAGACACACTGTCCAATGGTGCTTACGCTGTGTCACTTCTTGCAGATGGTCAAAACTTGGGTAGCCTCTGGGTTCAGGCTTTCACGCAGCGAGGTGGGGAGGTGGCCCCTTTTCCAACTGAGCCATATCGTTTTCACAGGATCCTCTGCAGCAGATCTACAAGCATGTCTCTCCATCACCGACCATCTGCCCATGGTTATTACTGTACGTCTTGGGTCCTTTCTGACCTGTGGTTGATGTCGATGGGAACTTTGGAGGTTGTGTTGAGTGGTCGTGTCGATGGTTCACACCACCTGGTGAACGATCACTTCGGGGCTTGTGCCTGGCTACGTGTGCACATGTCTGCAAGACATCACAGACCGACATTGACGAGTTGCATTGCAGTTGCCTTGTTGTTGCTTGTTGGATGCATGCCCTTTGCCTTGAAAGACAGGTTGGGTCTCTTGCAGCATGACCATGGGCGTGTTGTCAAGGGTTGGATTGCTAGTTGGAACTTGACATCCGGTGGCCCAAGGTTCTTGACATGGCTGTTGTTGTTCGCCGAAAGCGTGTGAGACTTTGGTTATTGGCACGAAGGTCAATGATCTTTTGATCGCCCCCCATGTGTGTGTGTGTGTCATGCGGCCATAGATTGCTCTGCCGACGTTGCAACAGTTTGATGTCTTGACCATTGCTTGTGAACACTGGCTTGATGGGTGCCAACTATCCTCTGATGTTTGATGATGTATTTCGATCCTGCCAACTTGCATCGACCGGCAGTGTCCCACTGTCAAGCAAAGCGCGAATTAACTTTTACTTGTTATTCTCTCTTGCTTGACTTTGTGCTTGAGCTTGTTCTTGCTGTACAGCCTTCCAAGATGCGTAATTTTCGAAGCAGCTCTGAAGACCTTGCTGTTTCTGTATGCCATAGTCTTTTCACTCGCCAAGGGGGACAACCGCGCGATGTGGTTTGTCTCGGTTCCCCCCCCCTCCTTGCACCTCGTACCCCCCTTAACCGGGAGGGGCATTGGTGCTGTGACTTCGCTCGCGCAGGATTCCGTCAAAATTTGGGTAGATTGCTCTTATTTGGGGATGGGGTTTGGATCGATGCTTCATCCCCATCATCTCTATGGGATGTGGCTTCCGCATGATCGGTAAATTCCATGGCTATCCCTGTGATTAATCCCATCATTCATCCCATGTAACTTGACCTACAGATCTATGATAGTTATATATAAATCTATATATATATATAGATAATATATATATATTCTCATATATATATTTATTTATATATATATTATTCTTTTTCTCATCATTTTTATTGTTATTATCATCATTATTATTTTTTGTTATTACCATTATTATTATTACCGAAGGAAGTTTAGAAGTCAAACTTCCGACAATATGGACAGATGAAAAGCAGAGCAGGGCAGAGGCAGAGAGTAGAGAAAGATTAGAAGAAAGAATAGTAGAAGAGAAAGAGTAAGAAGAAAGAAGATGCAGATGCGCGAAAAGGTAGGAAAGTCGCGAAACACTGTGTTTTTCCAATGATTTGTGGCTCCGGAGGGTCGACAAGTAGGCTCGCTAAAGCGGCGGGTGCGGAGCCAGCTGGCCAGATGAGAGATGAAAAATTGCACGCCGTTGTGGCGCGAAGCACATTTCCAAGTCAAAATGTACAAAACACACCAGCTCCGGACCACTTTTGGCACTTGAGATGTCGAAAAAGTGCACGCCGTTGTGGCGCGAAGCACATTTCCAAGTCAAAATGTACAAAACACACCAGCTCCGGACCACTTTTGGCACTTGAGATGTCGAAAAAGTGCACGCCGTTGTGGCGCGAAGCACATTTCGAAGTCAAAATGTACAAAACACACCACGTTCGGACCACTTTTGGAAGTTGAGATGTCGAAAAAGTGCACGCCATTGTGGCACGAAGCACATGTCGAAGTGAACGTGTACAAAACACCACATGTTCGTGCCACTTTTGGAGGTTCAGATGTCGAAAAAGTGCACGCAATTGTGGCGCCAAGAACATTTCGAAGTCAACATGTTAAAAACCCCAGGGGTTCGAACCACTTTTGGAGGTTCAGATGTCGCTTCGCTTCGCTTCACTGCACTACATTACACTCCACTACACTCCACTACACTAAATTACGCTACTCATACACGACATTACACTACACTACACTACATTTCACTACACTCCACTACACTACAGTACACTACACTACATTCCGGTGAATGACACTGCACGACAGATAGACAGGTAGACAGATAGACAGATAGATAGACAGATAGACAGGTAGACAGCTAGACAGATAGACAGATGAAAGAGAGAGAGAGAGAGATAGATAGATAGATAGATAGACAGATAGATAGACAGACAGACAGATAGATAGATAGATAGGTAATTAGATGAAAGAGAGAGAGAGAGATAGATAGATCGATAGATAGATAGATACTAGAAGATAGATAGGTGGTAGGTAGATAGTCAGAGAAAGAGAGAGAAAGAGAGGAGACCTCAAGCCCCTTTCGGTCCATCAGTGGATTCGCTCTGCCATCCCTGATTCACAACAACCAATCTCTCCTATAGGTTTCCTATTTTTGAAACTTCCGCCACCGCCTTGTGCGGTACTACTGGTATATATATCCCAGTCATATCCAATTGGAACCTCATTGTTAGTGGTTGAATCCCAATGTTTCATCCAAGGTTCAACAAGACAAAACATCCAAAAGTGGTGAAATCCCCATTTGCTCCGAAGGCCCGTCACTTGGAGATCCAGATCGTGGGCGACGAATATGGCAACACCCTGGCCTTGAACGGCCGCGATTGCTCCACACAGAGGAGCCCGTCATGGCCCACAAATCAAAGAATTGCATCGAAAATTCGATACAGCCAGGAGATTCCAGTAGGATCCTGGTTGCTTCTTCTTATAAGAATGTCTGTGTTGGCATTTCATGAAAATGTGCTGCCGCAATCTTTTCATCAGTGTTTTTCCATCAAAATGTCTTAAGATTTCCAGGAGATTCCAGAAGATCTTCGAAGAAGGTCCTCCCACCATCGCAAAAAAGGACGTTTTCCATGAGATGGAGCGCGCCGGCATGCGCCTTACCGCCTTAGTGGGCTATCAAGGTGCGCTGCAATGTCGTAACAGCTTTGTGAAATTCCAATGATCCATGGCTTTTGAATGCCTTTGAAGTAGAATAGTATGCCAACACCCCATGTACAATAGGATTTTTGATTGACCTCATGCTTTATTAACTTTACTTTTGAGTTCAAAGTGGTTTGTTTGACTTTTCCTTTGGACTTTAGTTGGTAGACGGGTCGATACCCATCCGGATGAACATCATCTTTGACTCCTAACCCACCATCTCCACCTGGGACTTGTGATGCCAGGTGCTGGCACCGTGGAATATCTCTACAGCCCCGAGACTGACACCTTTTGCTTCTTGGAGCTGAACCCACGTCTCCAGGTGGAACACCCCGTGACCGAAGCCATCACCGGGGTCAACATGCCCGCCACCCAGCTGCACATTGCCATGGGCATTCCGCTCTACAACATCCCAGACATCAGGAACCTGGGCTATGCTTAAGATTGATGGTTGAAAGAAGGGGGTTGTACTCACTGGTTTAGAAAGAAGGGATGGGTTAAACACAAATAAGGGTTTCTACTACCCTACCTGATTCGTTGGGTATTATAACAGATTACCCCAAACAGGGGTGTTGCCAAGATTGAAATCCACAATGGGAATCCCAGTTGAACCCAGTCGGTGGAAGGGTATGACGGGCAGTTCGAAAGTTGTGAGTCATTGCTCTTCAGTAATTTAAGGACCTTAGGAAAAGGAAATTGATGAAGATTCCCAAGAAAACTATATGTGTGTTGAAATGTGTGTGTCTAGGACGTTGACCAAGTTGGCCCAGTGGGTCTTGACCGCAGCTCCGTACCCAGGAGGTTCTACGGAATGGATCCAACGCAGAACTCCAAGATTGATTCTGGCTGGTTGTTTCAGCGGGTTTGTCTAACCATACAGGGAGACCCACAGTCATAGCACAATTTTCAGAGGGAAAATATGCGGATCATCCTTTGGAAATTGGGATAAGTACCACATTCTCAGACAAACCTTCACATGTCCTGAGATTGTCCCATCTTGTCACATCATGTTGTTCCAATTTTGATGGCTGCTGTTCATTATTCAGGCTGTCCCTGCACCAGCTGATTCTTTTAGTTTTTGTCCAGTTCTTTCAGGTGGTTTCAATCATAGTCATCGTAGTTTCTTTCTTTATGTTTCTTTAAATATGTTTATCCGAAGATTTTAGACAGTAGTTTCTTTATTTTCTTCATATTTTTCCCCTTTGTTTTTTTGGATTGTTCCCGGATGCGTAGCAAAGGGTTCTTGTTTTACTTTGGGGGTCTGCAGTTGAGACGTATTCGCTCGACGCTGCTTTTATGTTCGCAACGTTTGCAACCGTTCGCGGGCGTCGGAAGTGAGGGCAAGATGGCCGTGCCTATGGCGAGTTCTGCAAAAGCGGTCACGTTTGGAGATTTTAACGTTGTGTAGCATCGTTTCTTCCGCCAGGCGTGGCACTCCGTGACATTCCATGTTTCATAACGTGTCCAAAGTCGTTCTGCGTGACAAGCGCAATACTTTTGCGTCGTTTTCAGAAGATGAGTTGCATTTTTCGTGGCAGATGCAGCACTTTGGACATTTTGCGTGGCAGGCGCAGCACTTTAGACGTGTCGTGTTGCGCGTTTGTTTTGAGAGTTGTAATGTCAGGGCTGCGTCAAGTGGTGACAACGTGCAAATTCGGTAGAAGGCTTGGATTTTGTGAGATGTGATGAAAACTGACGGAAGTCTCGCACGAAACATCGATTTTGAAGTAGCAAATTTGAGAAAACTCGTAGGAAAAAGTCGATTTTGTAGCTACAAAGTGTGAAAATCTGAGGAAGTCTCACACGAAATGTTTGTTTTGAGCTCTGAGGCTCCAACATGTCTCGTCACGATTCTCTGGTTTTCATGTGGCGTCGCCGTGCCTATGAGGGAAGCTGCAAAACCTCTCATTTTCGAAGGTTTTGAAAACAGGTTCTCATGCACTTTTGCATGGCAGGCGTGGCGCTTCCTGACATTCACATGTGTCTGCAAAAGTGTCGAACGTCATTTTGTGTGACAGGCACAAAAGTTTTGCAAGGTGGCATTTTGCCTGGCAGGTGCAGCGCTTTAGACGTGTGCTGTTGTGTGTTTTTCCCCACCTGTCAAGTGAGGGTTGTTAGATTTTATGTCAGCTGTCCCGCCTTCTCCTCCTTCTTCTTCCCCTCCTCCTCGGATCCACCGGACCTCAACTGCAAGCGCTAGATCGCAGTGCTCCCCGCCGGACCCGAACAGCAAGCTTAGGATCAGAGTAATCCCCGCCGGACCTCAACTGCAAGCAGTGTTCCCCGCCGGACCCGAACTGAACAGCAAGCTCAGGATCAAAGTGATCCCCGCCGGACCTCAACTGCATAGATCGCAGTTTTCCCCGCCGGACCCGAACAGCAAATAACAGCAAGCTCAGGATCAGAGTGATCCCCGCCGGACCTCACAACTGCAAGCGCTAGATCGCAGCGTTCCCCGCCAGACCCGAACTAACAGCAAGTCAACTCATGCAAGTGCTATAGTGTTCCGATCCGGACCCGAACAGCAAGCTCAGGATCAGAGTGATCCCCGCCGGACGTCAACTGCAAGCGCTATAGTGTTCCGAGCCGGGCCCAAACAGCAAGCTCAGGATCAGAGTGATCCCTGCAAGTGCTAGATCGCTCCGCGCCGGACCCGGACAGCAAGCTCAGGATCAGAGTGATCCCCGCCGGACCTCAACTGAGCTTGCGGCTGCGCCCGAACAGAGAGGATGCTAGAAGAGAATGCCAGATGGAATGTCAGATTGAATGTCACAATAGATGTCAGATAGAATGTTGTAGGTAAAACGTCAGAATATTATAGAATATTTGTCTCAGGGGATGACTAAGTGATGTGCGAATCTCAATGTCAGGGCTGCGTCAAGTGGTGACAATGCGCAAATCGCGTGGCAGGCGTAGGACTTCATGAGAGTGTCATTTTGCGTAGCAGGGGCAGTATTTGGTGCAGCTCCATTGTGTGTGTGTGTTTGGATTGGCATTTTGCGTGGCAGCCGCAGTTTTTCGGACACTCTAGACTTTACATTTTACATTCCGCACTCTACACTCTACACTTGACACTCTACACTTTACACTCTACACTTTACGCTCCACTCCACACTTTACACTTTCCACTCCATACTCTGCACTATTTACACTTTACACTAAACACTTTTGACTTTACACTATACATTTTGAAACCCGCCTCTACACTTTACAATCCACACTCCGCACTTTACACTTTGCACTTGGGACTTTAAACTTTACACTCCAGACTTTACACTGTACACTCCACACTCTACACTTTACACTTTACACTCTACACTTTGCACTCTACACTTTTCACTTTACACTCCACACTCTACACTTTGCTCTCTACACTTTACACTCCACACACTACACTTTACACTCTACAGACTCTACACTTTACACCTCGAACTCCACACTTTACACCTTACCCCCCACACTCTACACTTTGCACTTGGCACTCCTCACTCTACACTGTACACTCCTCTCTCTACACCTACACTTTAAACTCCACACTTTACACTTTACATTTGACCCCCAACACTTTACTCTTTACACTCAAAACTATACACTTTACACTCCACACTCTACACTTTACACCCCACACTCCACACTTTACACTCCACACTCCCCACCTTACACTTTTCACCTTACACTTTACACTCCACACTTTACAATCCTACGCTCTACACCTCACACTCTACACTTTACACTCTACACTTTACACTCTACACTTTACACTCCACACTTTACAATGTACGCTCCACACTTTACACTTTACACTCCACACTCTACGTTCCACACTCCACGCTCTACACTTTACACTCTCCACTCTACACTTTGCACTCCACACTTTACACTTTACACCCACACTTTCCACTCCACACTCTACACTTTACACTCTCAACTTTACACTCCACACTTTACGCTTTACACTCCAATCTCCACACTACACTTTACGCTTTACACTCCACACTTTACACTTTACACTTCGCACTCCACACTCCACACTTTACATTTTCCACCCCACACTTTACGCTTCACACTCTACACTTTACACTTTACACTCCACACTCAACACTTCACACTCTACACTTTACACTCTACACTCTACACTTTACACTTTACACTCCACACTTTACACTTTGCACAATACACTTTACACTTCACACTCCAGCCTTTACACTTTGCACTTTACACTCCGCACTCTTCACTCTATACTCCACGCTCCCCACTCCACACTATGCACTTTACACTCCACACTCTACACCTTACACTTTACACTCCACACTTTACACTCCACACTCCACACTTTACATTTTACACTCCATACTCTACACTCTACGCTTTCCACTCTACACTTTACACTCCACTCTCTACACTACATTTGCCACCCCACACTTTAGGCTTTACACTTCACACTCCACAATCCCCACTTCACACTCTACACACTACATTCCCACTCAACACTCCACTTTCTTCACACTCCACACTTTGCACTCGACCCCTTTCCACAGTCCACAGTCTACAGTGCACTGGTATGGTAACAGGGGAAAAATGCACAAGACTGTTCAATTAAATTGTTCCACAAAAGTGTTTTACGTGACTGCATTCGGGTTCCTGGGCTGCATCTTGCTTCCACCTATCCCAGGATTTCTTCGCTGTGGACTATCCTCCCATCACCTCCCACTGCTGCGCTTCGCGTATCACGGCGGAGAATCCGGACGAGGGCTTCAAGCCGACCAGTGGAAAGATCCACAGCGTGCGATTCCAATCCTCTGGCGCCTCGGAGAAATTACCACCGGGGGGAATGGAGGAAATTTATCCACGGGTTGGTTCTGGGCGAAAGGCATTAAGAGAAAAAACTATGGTTGGAAGAAGTCAGAACTTTCTTTGGATCTGTAGATTTTCGAAGCATCATCGTTGATGTTGGAGTCCCATGTCCCAGGTGATTGCTGGGGTTACTTCAGCTGTGGCCTGAAGGGCGCCATCCACGAGTTCGCAGATTCGCAGTTCGGTCACATCTTCGCCAAGGGACCCAATCGCGAGGCTGCCCGCAAGAGCTTGCGCTTCGCGCTGATGAACTTGGAGACTTGGGACGAATTTTAGAGAATTTTACCTTTGCGCTCACGGTGTTTTTTGGGATCATGATGCGACATGAAATTGTGATAGTTTTCAGGACATGTTGAAACCACCAACCAGATTGGTTTTGGATGGTATTTTGAAATTTTGTCCATGAAGCACGATAGGCAATACTGTCAGGAATTCATAGTATCTCATCGGTAAAGTTTAAACCATAGTTTTCCCAAACCATATTTTATGGTAAAAAACAACCAGACCATGAAGAAATTGTTCTTTCAACGATCTCTGAAACATCAGGACATTCAAGGAGACATCCGCCATCCCGTGGACTATTTGGTGGATTTGATCGAGACCAAGGTGCAAAGTATAGCCTTTTTTTTAAGGGGAAGTGAATGAAGAGACACGTGGTTATTATGGGACTTAAGGGAACAAATCTATAATAGGGATATAATAGTATAGAATATAGGTATTTATAGGTATAATAATCTGGATCTATAAACACATGGGAAATCCCATTCTGTACAAATGGAGGTTTAACGGGAAATCATCTATAGATATGGGAGATATATCTGGATAAATTGGATTCGAGGAATCATCCACAAGTTGACGTATTAACAACGGCTATTTCCAGGTCAGTGAATGATTTAATTCAGCCAGAATGACGGCCATATTCGCATCGCTATCCAGTGGTGACTGGAGGGACCGTTGGGTGCAAGGCTATCCGATCGTCCCTTTTTTAGGGAGCCAAGGCAGCCAAGGGAATTACACATTGAGTTTCCCAAGCATATTGACACTAAGGGACAAAGGCATGACAAGGGCATACTGTGTTTGTTTTTCCCGGAGGAATTGACCTACATCTCGCTATAAATAAGTGATGGAGGAATCCATAATTTTCCAAAAGATAATTCACCGAATTTCCAGTTGAACAGGAGTTTTTGTTCTTCCAGCCTTTGTTTGACTGTGATCCATTTTTCGGCAATTGCGGCTATTCCTGCAGGAGTACCGGGAGAACACCATCGACACCATGTGGCTGGATGGACTTATTGCCAGCAAGGCCATCACACCCAGCCTGGGCGTCAACGAGGTCAGCTGATTTTTTGAAAAAGCTCTGGAGATCTGTGTTTGTTCGAAACATTTGGAAACTTTGGATCAGGTAGTTAATTGTCTCTTTTTTTTGCCTTGCCGTTTTTTTTTGGGGATGGTTTGCTTCCACCAATAAACTCTCTGAAAACGACCATCAAAGCAGTCCCAAAGCCTCCAGCGTTGGCGCGGGCAGCGACAACTCGTCTACAGGTGGTGTTCTACGCTGCGGTCTTCAGGGCCTTTGACATGGCCAAGAGCCGTACCAATGATGCCATCCAGTCCATGCAGAAGGGGCAACTGGTGCTGCTCGGCAAGAACGACCCTTGGTTGCGTACTAACGTGCTTGCAGTCCATGAATCTGGTTGCGAGCTTAAAAATCTTGAGTTCCTTGCAGCGAAGTTTATTCCCTGAAATGAATTCAAGCTCAAACAGATTTAGTCTTAAGGCTAATAGCGGCTATGAGCTTGAACATGTACCCAAACTTGCTTGATTTGACATCATATATTCAGGGTTGCTCCAACCCTTCAACCCATGAAACGGTATCCACAAGGGGGAAAAATGGGTGAACTTACATCTTTATTTACCAACTTTACCACCCTTCAATCTGGGGTGGCCAGGGAGCAACCTGTTTTTAGAGATTGGGAAGCCCATCAACCAGTGGAGGACACCGATGCGCTGATTTCCTTTCACTTAGACATCACCTATGATGACAGGAAGTTCTCCTTCCAGGCAGGCGTTTGACGCTGCATTATATGTTCTTAGGGAAAACTATTGCCATAGAATAGCTCCGTCATAATGGTCAACCTCTATACAGATACACCTTCATTATTGTCCTTCATTCTTCATACAAGATACTGCAATATAGATTCCTTGCCACATTGAAACATCCCCATCTTATCCCCATCACCACGTCTCGCCGTGCTGCTCCCCTTGGCGTGTCTGCCAGGTGACCCGCAAGCGCTCGGACGTCTACTGCTTCGCCATCAACGGCGGCACCATCGCTGCGAAGGTCCGCGAGCAGCCCGATGGCTCGCTGTACGTCACCGTGGGGCGTCTCAGCCAACACCTCAAGGGGAAGGAGGAGGCGCGAAGATGTGAAGCCTGGGCTGCGCTGAATGAAGGGGAACTATAGAAGGGCATCAGGGCTTTAGCTGGAAAGCTGACGCTGTGTGGAATCGATATAGTCAGCTTAGTCTACTAGTGTTTTTGTTTCCTTTTGATGATTTGCCAGGCTTTGGGCTTGCGCTTGATCATTGGAGCCCAGACCATCATGGTCCCCAACGTCTACGACCCCTCCGAGCTGCGCTCGGACGTGAATGGCAAGGTGGTGCGCTATTTGCACGAGGAGGGCACTGAGATTGCTAAGGGAGACACCTTTGTGGTGCCTGGGGCTGTCAGGTAGTGCTTGGGAGCATTCCTTTGTGCAGTGGCCCAGTATTGGTTGATGGTGAGTAGTTTGGCCATGTGTCATGGTGATGGTTTCAAGAAATTGTAACGGGACGGGGACGGGTCGCAGAAGAGTGCCAGAATGCGGAGACACCTAGAAAAATTGATTGGTGGTTTGGAACTTTTTTTATTTTTCCATATATTGGGAATAATCATCCCAACTGACTAATATTTTTCAGAGGGGTTGAAACCACCAACGAGAGAAAAAACACAATTCAGAGATGACTTGTGATGATCGTCCTGCGTCTGAAAGGATTCACAAAAAAACAACGACATGTGGATTTGATCATCTTTCTACTCATGGTGGGATTGATGAGATCTCACCACCCATGGGACCTGGAGTGGCTGCCCTAGGAATTGGAAGCCATGAAGATGATCATGTCCCTGAAGTCTCCAGAGGCTGGAGTTTTCACTACTCACTACTGTTTCAACCGGAGGTATCTGCTGTGAAGTTTTCATCATACAGTTGATGAATTCACCTGTTGGTTTTGCATCCTTTTCCCTATGAAGATTGCGATCTATTGCAATTTGATGCTACCATTTGAGGCTTCTCATTTTCAAACACCCAGATTCCACATGATTCCACCACTACCCCTGCTCCTGCGCAGGCAGGCAAGGTGAGCCACGCCCTGTCGGCCGGCAGCATCGTCTCGGCGGGCGAGCTCTTGGCCAAGCTGGAGCTGAAGGATCCATCCAAGGCACGTCCTGGGATGGCCTCCATGGGATGTTTTATGAGGTCCGATTTTTTTAAGGGGGGGAAAAAGCTGGTGAAATAGTGATTGAAATCATGAAGGTGATAAATGTTGAGGAGGGAGTTCCTATGTGTTTGGTGGGCTCTTTAATTTTGTCTCCATATTTTGGCGCTGATGCCTACCCACTGATGCTTGACACAAATTCGCCCTATGATAATGATGATAATGGTTGTCAGGTCATATTTCCCACAGCGCTCCCCAAAGTTCCATCAATGCGTCCCTCTTCCAGCAGCCCAACTACCAGCCCATCCAAGTTTTGAACTTCCCAACAGCTCCAACAGCTCCCCCAGCTCGCTGCACAGCTCGCGCAGGTGAAGAAGATCTCGCCCTTCGAGGGCGTCTTCAGCCTTGGTGAGGACCTCGAGGCGGTCGCCGCGGAGCCGCTGCAGGAGCTGCTGGCGTTGTTGGATGGCTTCTGCATCGAGGCCAAGGGGCCGGAAGTGGTACAGAGACTCGGCTTGACCGCGGCTTCAGTGGCTTTAGTTTCAGATCATGTCAGATCATTCCAGATAACTACTTTGAAGTCATTTTCAGATCATTTCAGATACTTCGGGTGCTTCTTTTGAGCAATTCTTTGCAGCAAGTAGCAACTTTCTTAACCCCATGGTTCCTGTTAGAGCCTTTCAACATATTTCAGTATGATTGCGTGAATGGAATATCAAAGCTGAAGCAGATAGACCTCGATTTGCTGAAGGTGGTTCTTCAATCCCGTATGAGTTAACCCAATTGGCGAGGAATATTATTTTGCTGAGGGGGAACATCTTAAGCAACTCCTGGTAGAGCTATCCAAATCTATTCAGCAATATTCAACATGTTTTTTTTGTCTTGGCAGGGCGCGGGGTTCAGTGCCCTTTGCGGATCAAGGAAGATGTTCGAGGGCTTCGCCAATCATCAAGCTGCGGCTGAGACAGTTCGCGGAGTCTTGGAGAAGTACCTCTCCAACGAGCGTCCTTTCGCTGCTTCCATCGACAAGAAGTCACTGGGTGCATGACAGCAGGAGCCGACTGATCACAGGGTTGATGGTAGTGCAATACATGTTCATTCCTTTTCAGACCATCAAATCAAAACCTGCATGTCATAAACATTGGAGGGGCTGCAAAACTTCCAGCAACAGTTTAGTTCAGCTAGGTGGATGTCAGGTGAAAAAAATCAGCAGCTGAGGCAACCCTATGACCAGCTGCTGTTGGAGATTATCAACCAAGGAAAGGACGACCTTGAGAAGGCCCCGAGACATGCTGCTGGTAGCGGTGGCTGCTCAACTTCTATAGATTAGATTGAGTAGATGAGCAGATCATGAAGAGGGATTTGTAACAGATTATCTTTTGAGGCACTCAATGAGTTTTTTTTTGGTATACAGATACAGAAACACCCAGAAGAGCAGCTCATTGTCCATCACCGACTGAATTCATCCACCTGACTTGGAAGTGGCTGCAGGTCCTCTTCATGATTGCAGCACACAACAAGATGGCATCCCGCAACGAAGCCGTCATGGCCATTCTGCGCGAGATGGTGGCAGTCGAAGGATCTGGAATGTCCTGCATGCGCCTTGCCATGGAAAATTTGGAACCCTACGGCTTGTTTGTAGAAACACAGGGGCACTAATCGAAAATCCAAGGATCATTTCTCCGTTGTCCCATACCAAACTGACTAATTTGAAATAAGGTTCTTGACGCTTCCAAACCATTCCAGACCCATAACAACCTCACACCATTCCTTACCACCTCCTGAAGGTACGTGCCGGACATGCGCGAGGAGGAGATGGATGGCGGCGTCCATCAGAAGGTCGTGGAGATCTCGCAGCTCCCCAGCACGGCCGCAGTGGCCGGGGACTATGGCAACGTGCGCTACCTCGCACAGCAGCTGCTTGGAGTTATGGTTTCCGAAGTCATGAAGATCCAATGGGTTTGAGCCATTACAAGAGGATCCCAGGATCCTCTCGGCCAGAGGCTGCGCATCAGTTTGTACTTCAGACCAGTGTCTCCATGCATCATGCCAAAAGATAAGTATCTTTTGTTTTGGCTTTCAAATCTATTGACGAGTCAATCATCAATGCGGTAAAACCATGTATAGACGCAAATAACCAAACCATGAATGTGTTAGAATGTGGACAGAGAACTATAATCATCTATAATCCTTATAATCGAACTCAACCCCCATGTTTTCAGGTTTGTACTTCCCTGCAAAAACATCGGTGGTTTGGAATCTGTTTGTTTTCCATCCTATTAGAGATGATCAACCCCCATTGACAAGCATTTTTGTTTCGTGGGCATTGAAACCGCCAATCAGATCATGGCTTGGGCTCTGCTTTTTACAGACCGGTTCTTCTTTGGTTTAGTTTGGTTTGTGCTAGTTTTGTTTCTCCGAAACAGATTGCATCATATCAATACATCAGATCAGATTAGTTATAGTTTTAGTTCTATCCCCAAGGAGATCGGTTGATATCATATCATATATCATCATCCTCCAGATAGTAATTTTCTAAGATTGCTTATCACGTCTTGAAGACTCTGAGATATTCTATAGGATTGGTTGATATTCAGCCCACATCGTTCCATATATGGGCATTTCCTGAAATGGGGGTAGCCCTAAATCATCCATTCATAGATGGGATTTTCGATTATAAACCATCCAGCTATTGGATACCATGTCTGGAAAACCCCCATACCAGTTCCCATAGAGCTTGCTCCGGACCGAGGCTCCTGGACGTCTTGCCTCAGGAAACCTACCAACAGCGTTTGGGTGGACTCCAGAGCCAGCTGCGCGCGTTGGAGGAGAAGGCGCGAGAGGTTCGGTTGGTTTCACCAAGGGGGAAAAAGTGGCTGGAAAATGTTCAGAAAATGCTACAGGATGGTGTCCTCCAGTTGTGTTTGTTGGTTGATGACATTTTATAACACCATCTAAATATGATTGCTTAGTATCATACACTATGGTAATTATAGTTATAAACCAACTTAGCTAACTTTTTGATGTAGGGGATTTGATAGGCTGGATTTAGATATTCCAACTTTTGTCAACTTAGGTTGGTGGTTTCAAGTGTGGTTGTATCATGGCGTATCTGAAAGTTGAACATATACCCAAGTTTTTGCAATGTCATTGGTAAAATTAGGTTTTAAATTGTTTTTATTTAAACCATCAAAATTATAGTTTTTCACTTAAATTGTCAGACATTACTGCCCGTTTGATGTTAGGAGGGGAATTCATTGAAGAATTTACTCCAAAGAAATGGGGATATGAGATAAAATTGCTAATGATTAGGGTGACTTCAGGTGAATGAGAGCCACTTTTTTGGGGCTGTGGCAATATGTCATTTACTACCATTTATATGCTATATACAGTACTATTCATTTTACCACCGATATTTGGGGGTGTTGGGAACAACCCTGAATATCATCAAATATTGGGGAACATGATGGAACATGTCCAACCACGCTTTGTTTATACCAAGTGATTGGGGATATTTTATGGGTAAAACCAAAGGGAGCATGATGATGAAGCAGTTCATTTTCAATGGGCACACTATATTCAGGCAAATTTAGTTGATGGTGAAAAATGGCCTGTGGGTTACTAACTGGTTCCATTTTACGGGTGTATTTGGTAGATAATTATTACCCACCTGCCAGGTGAGGGTTGTTAGATTTTATCAGAGTTGTTCTCCTCGGCTAGCTATCCTCCTGCTCCTCCTCCGCCAGCATCTCCTCCACCACCTCTGCCTCCACTTCCACGTCCACCATTGCCTTGCCAACTCTTCGCCAAGCTCTTCGCCAACGTCCGAGCTCAGTGTGCACCGCTGGACCTCAACCTGGGACCTTCCCAGCTCAGTGGGCACCGCTGGACCTCAACCTGGGACCTGCCCAGCTCAGTGTGCACCGCTGGACCTCAACCTGGGACCTGCCCAGCTCAGTGTGCACCGCTGGACCTCAACCTGCGACCTTCTCAGCTCAGTGTGCACTGATGGACCTCAATCTGGGACCTGCACAGCTCAGTGTGCACCGCTGGACCTCAACGGCCAGATAGAATGCCAGAAGATATGCCAGATAGAATGTCAGATAGAATGCCAGAAGATATGCCAGATAAAATGCCATGAGATATGCCAGATAGAATGGCAGAAGATATGCCAGATAAAATGTTAGAAGATACTCCAGATAGAATGCCACATAGAATGCCGGAGAGAATGCCAGAAGATATGCCAGAAGATATGCCAGATAGAATGTTGGAAGATATGCCAGATAAAGTGCCAGAATGTTTGCCAGATAGAATGCCAGAAGATTTGCCAGATAATATGCCAGAAGATATGCCAGATAGAATGCCACATAGAATGCCGGAAGATATGCCAGAACATATGCCAGATAGAATGTTGGAAGATATGCCAGATAAAGTGCCAGAATGTTTGCCAGATAGAATGCCAGAAGATTTGCCAGATAATATGCCAGAAGATATGCCAGATAGAATGCCACATAGAATGCCGGAAGATATGCCAGAACATATGCCAGAAGATATGCCAGGTAGAATGCCAGAAGATTTGCCAGATAGAATGCCAGAAGATATGCCAGATAGAATGTCAGAAGATATGCCAGATAAAGTGCCAGAATGTTTTCCAGATAGAATGTTGGAAGATATGCCAGATAAAGTGCCAGAATGTTTGCCAGATAGAATGCCAGAAGATTTGCCAGATAATATGCCAGAAGATATGCCAGATAGAATGCCACATAGAATGCCGGAAGATATGCCAGAACATATGCCAGATAGAATGTTGGAAGATATGCCAGATAAAGTGTCAGAATGTTTGCCAGATAGAATGCCAGAAGATTTGCCAGATAATATGCCAGAAGATATGCCAGATAGAATGCCACATAGAATGCCAGAAGATATGCCAGAACATATGCCAGAAGATATGCCAGGTAGAATGCCAGAAGATATGCCAGATAGAATGCCAGAAGGTATGCCAGGTAGAATGCCAGATAAAATGTCAGATAGAATGCCAGATAAAATGTCAGATAGAATGCCAGAAGATTTGCCAGTAACAAAATGTATAAATGTCATGGTGGGGATCACACAAAGTAAAGTAGTTTGATCTTTTTCCCAAAATGGACGGTGTACCTAAGTATGGCAATGACAATAAATCAGTCATAAATCAGCCATTTTGGGGTACCGTATTATCCACAAGAAGTGAAAGTCTGATTGAGGTAATGATTCACCATTTTTTGGGGTGTGCGTGTGTTCTTTGACACCCACCAACATGGTAACAATGGGCAACCTGGGTATGGGTTTGCCACATTATATGGATATATGATATGTAGGTTTTGTGTTTCAAGGACTACGCAACCGTTTGAAATCCGTTGTTACTCTGATTTGCTTGCCAGCCGAAATCCCTTTAACTGTGAATTTGATAAAGGCGAATCACCAAGTGCTCCCCCCTGTTTCTTGTCATCATCTTGGATTGGTGGTTTCAAGTATGGGTGTGTCTGAAAATGAGGGATACCCCCCAAATTGGCTATTTGGATATACCTGGATAGGGAACATGATGATGATACGCCATGGGGTTTTGTCGGGTTCGCTTAAACTTTCAGATGATAAACCATCTGATGATCTCCCCATACCGGGGCGCTGATCCCAGCGCACTTACACATCTGTTTCAACCCCAGACATTTATCAAAACATGTTTTGCCATCTCCAGAACAAATGTGCCCTCTGGAAATTTAACAGTTTGCGACGGAAAATGGCGCATTTAGTTGGAAGATTTGCCTGTTAGAAATCGTGGTTTTCCACAGCTATGTAAAAACATACCAGAGGGTAAATCCAATGTAAAGTCTCAACCTATCCCATCATATTACATGATGTCCCCGTTCTATCCCTGTTCTATCTCTATAAACTCCCAGCGTCGGGATGCCAAAGGCCTGGACGTCCAAGTCAGAGATGCCTGGTGCCGTGGAAGGAAATTTGGAGGCCTTGGGATGCCTTGCGATGCCTTGCTGCTGAGCGTGGGCTGGGTCAAAACCCTGTTGGTCCATTGCTTGGGTAATACATAATGACCAGCATTAGTGTGGTCCATTGGGCCTTCATTTTTGAACTATACCCGCCTGAAGGTTATGGATGATGTTCATTCCCACTGGCATGGGGTAAATCAGAGATTTTGGCCCTCCCAAGCTTGGAATCACAATGATATAATAGTTTGATTGACGTGATTTATGAAGAACGCTAGGACGAAAACCTGTATCCTGTCAGTATGTCACAGTTTCTACTACATATTTGGACTTGTTAAAAGGTTTTTTGCAGATAAGCATGACACTAGTTGAAGAATGTTGAAGACACCCACACCTGGATGGTTGAATAAGAAGTGCCAAGTCTGTTGTATGTTGCATTTGGAACGTTTGCTGTGCTCGTTTTGGGTCATGGGCGAGGCTCCGCAGCCATGATTTTGCCGACAGGTGGAGCTATTGGTGGATGCCTTGTACGATTCTGACGCGAAGGTGCAGAAGGGAGCCATCCAATCCTACCTGCACTGGTTGGCGGCTCCTAGCCGTTTGTCTGACGTGGTCATCCAGGACGAATCTGATGAATGAGAAAGATGGTTGCTTTTGAAGCTCAGTGTGATGATCTGCACCCTTTTATTGACTCTCAAGTGTTCTATGCAGCACAAGGATTTGTCTTTTGTTCAAGGAAAAACGCTAAATCCCAAAATTTTAGGACATCTTCTATATAGTTTTCCCCCCAAAAAAAGCTATTCTGCCCCAGAGAATCCCCGTCCACGGGTTCTCCCATCGCCAGGAGAAGTCCGCCCGGTGGACGCAATTCTTCCCGGTGTCCGAGGGGACCCACGAGCGACATGGCTTGATGCTGCTCCTGCCAGAGGTGCAGCACTTGGAGAGCAAGTTGGAAGAGCTCCTGCCCCAGTTGGTGCCTGGGCCCCAACGTGATCGGGGGTCCATGGCCGGAGCATGAAATCCATTAAAGGTTGGTTTAGAATAGAAAATCCGAAGATCGGGTGATGATTCCAATGATTCCAATGATTCCATGTATAGCCGCATTTTTCGCTCATGTGCAGACACCCATTTTGTAGCTTTATGTGGCTTGAACTGTTGGGGTTTCTTCAGTGACTGATGACATTAAACCAATGGAACAGTCATTGTAGTGGCCAATTTCTTTTGGGAGGGGTTGTGAAATGACTGGTCAAACTGGAGGTTCTTTCACCCTGTTATGTGGCACCAAAGTCGAAAGGTTTCCCCGAAAATGGATCATGGAATCATGGGCTGACAACACCTAAGGTTACCCTGCAGGGAAGCTCCGGCAGTTCTGTGCCCTTGAACTTTCTGCACGTGGTGCTGGGAAAGGATGCTTTCCCTTCAGTGACTGACCGAACCTTGTTCTACAACACCGATGATGAGATGAAGAAGGCCATCAAGCAGAGTCAGGACAGTGCATTGAATGGTCTTGGCTGGTGAAACAGTTAAAATTCCAGAAGTTTCATGAAGTTTCTGGGTCCTTGCGTCTTCAAGTTTGTACCATCCAACTTCCTTTCATATATGTGGGCTTGTATCCAGTCGATTCGGGGGATACCACAAAATGGCCATCTTGGAAGGGAAATGAAGGTTCAAATGATTTTCGAGACAATTCCATAGTTCGACTATTTTGACTCCGATCCATAAGTTGATCTTTACATGCAATCAGATGTTGATCCATTCTCCAACGACATACCGTACTGGCCCAGAATTTTCTCAAGGACATCTTCGCAAAGAAAGCTGAGATCCTGAAAGCAGCAGGTGTGGGAGAGATTCTCGGCTCTGGTTTGAGTCTCCCGACGGAAGATAGTCTCGAGAGTCTCACATTCTCTGGTGTTTTGATCCCATCATTTATGTTGAGATTGACCTGCAAGGTGGCAATCCCCAGTTATGTTTGTTGGTTTACCATAAAACCCTTTAACTATATAGATTAATTATATAGATATCATATATAGATATATACCTATGCAATAAACCCTAGAATTCAATAGAATTGACCTAGTTCGAATACAATTCGCCTCCGAGAAACCGAGGATCTCGCTGGTGTTGCCTCAGCCACCTCGACACCCTCGCTTCGCCAAGTTCTTGCTGGACGAACAGGAGGAGATGGGTCTCGGTGGAGGGGCCCATGGGCGAAGGCAAACGTTATAAGTTGTTAACATTTCTTATATTTAACTGAACTACTGTCAGTAGTTAAATCATAAGCTAAATATTTCTTTAGGTAATAAAGTAATTAAGTAGTATAATAGCAATATATATATAATACTATATATAGCTAAGTTCAGTCAAGTCAAGTGGGCTAAAGGGTTATTTAAATTTCAGTTGGATTGAATTGGATTATATAGTAATATATTCAACTATATGGTATAAGTGCTTCTGTGATGTTAGGTAGGAAGTGGCTTACATCGGCTCACATGCTAAGGGTGTATATGCGGACCCCAAATCCTTCACGCGGTTCCTCCGACGCAATCTCGTGAGAGGAATGGTCCGAGCAAGAGATGGGCCGTGACATGTGGCCTTCCTTCACCGGCATGTTGGAGTTGGGCGCATTGAACCGTATCTGCACTTTGCAGCGCATTCACAAGGACAGATGGCTGAAAAAGATGGAAGAACCTCTGTGTGAGTTGACTCAAGATCGCTTACATCAGCGAAAAGGTCAAGTTACATGGTGCATTTTGCACATGGGGATGGTCATTCAATTTCCATCAAGATGAATATACAATATACCCGAAGATGATAGATTTTTACTTTTCAGGAGGTAGATATTTTTAACAGGCCCAAAAGTCATTAAATTGATTTCAAATATCAATGGTACTCGTATATTGACGAAGCTTCGAGGTCCTGCAATATACGACCTATTCTTGGCCTTGCCCTGTGACTGCAGGAAGTTCGACCAACGTCTCACATCTATTTGGCCACACAGCCTATGGTGGGTGGCAAGTCTGCCGCACCAGAATTGCTGATGCGTGCCTTGTACCTCTCCAAAATCAACAAGGAATCCTTTGGCCAATGCCTTGCGGATAGTTTGGATGCTTGGATTGGGGGTTTATGCTTGATTTTGAGCTGATTTTCCTGGGCCAATCCACTTCACATGTGGAATCTATAGGGACTACAATTAGTTGTTTTTTTGGCGGTTCTTGGATGGCAAATCCAAGGATGTGGCTTTGGACGAGGTTGAGCACGCCATGCTGGATCCTCGAGTCGCCAAGTTCGGTCAAGGTGTCACCAGCCGCATCTTCCTCCACTTCTTGAGTGAGCTGGACATGTCTCGCCAGGACCACCTGTTTCAAACATGTCCATCCAAATCCAATGAAAACCTGTGGTTGATCAATGTTGATCATAATTTCCTCATTAAAACTGCCATAAGATGGGAAGAAATTGGTTTACAACCTTCAATTCCCACATTCTGACCATTTTCGGAGAATCGCTGCTTCCATTCGAAACACCGCCAGTCACGGAGAACCACGAAACGGTCGTGAGACGACTTTGATCTAGTCATTTTGCAGCCTCCTTTGGTTATTCATGTTGGGGTCCCTTTTTGGGGTCTCTTGGGTCCCTTGGGTCCCTTGGGTCCCTTGAGGGCATGGCACGAGTCATGATGAGTCAGATGACTTCAAGACGATAGGAGATCGAAAAGCTGCTGACCGAGAGCATCAGCAGCCATGCCGGACATCGTAGCTCAGAGATGATCCAGTTGTGCATCGATCAGATCGAGGCCTGGATGATGAGGCTTCCACAGCTTAGCCAGTAAGATGGTAAAGGCATTAAGGGGCTGTTAAGGGGCCGTGGAAATCCAGGGTTTGTTTACCTTGGACACTGGATCATCTGATGACTTTTTCATCGTTTTTAATGTTTGAAGCGAGCGCCAAAAACAGCACCACTGCATCTCTCTTGCAGGTGAAAGTTCACCAGCGCAGCAGCAGTGGCTTTGAGATCTTGCGCATGTCCTTGTCCTCTTTGCACGGAGGATTCCTGAAGCCCAAGCTGCTGCGTGAGATTCCTGACCCGGTGACAGGCTACCCCTTGCGATGGGAAGCGGCCGATGGGGCGCAGAGTGCCATCACGGATCATCCGCATGTGGTCGACCATGTGCAGTTGAGTGGCTTGTTCGTGGTGGTTTCAGCAGGGGCTTGCTTACTACCCAGAAACTATAAAGGGAACCAAAAATGTGGAGGTGTTGATCCCACGCAAGATCAAAATAGATAAGATATCCAGGTTATTTGATTCTGGTTTGAGGTAAGATTATATTTTTGACATACAGTCATACAGTCTATCTATTTACCCTCTGGTAAACGTTGACATAACGAACTGGAAAATCACCATGCTATTCATGGGAAAATCAACAATAAATCTATGGCTATGGCTTCAATAGCTAACTGTTAAATTATCCCATAAAATCTCCATTTATCCCACTCAAATCCCAGAAAAAAATCCCATTAAGTACCATGAAGTCCATATATATGTAACAAATTCCCAGAGGCTATCTATCCCATCCCGTCTCTCATTCCATGAGGTCAGTATCAGGCGAAGCGTGTGGCCGCTCGTCGCGCTGGCTCCAGCTATGCCTACGACCTGCCAGGTGGGGCCACCGATGTTGGGAGGGCCATGGAAAAACTTGAAAAAAGATGGGGATTGAAACAACATGAAGCAACGATATTTCATTGGATTGGTTTGTTGGGGAAAATCTTGGGTTTTTACCATGAAATTTCATGGGCTTTCCGACTATTTTTTTTTCCCCATCATCCGATTCTATGAATATTGGTGGGGGATTCAAGCACAGAATATGGGCATGTACCCGCAATGGGAAAAGGACGACGGCGAGACGGACCGACCAGACCGCTGAATCAGCGGTTGCCAGGTATGCTGCACTTGGCTCTGACCATGAAATGGATCAACGCCAGCGTCAGCGATGTGCCTGCCGCCAAGGCCACGGGCAGCCGCAAGCGCACCACAACGCCAGGTCGTGCGGCCGCAGCGGAGGGAATGCCCAAGGACATCATGAAGGCTGTGGAGCTGGTAATGGATTGGAACAAGATGGAGCTGGTTGAGAGACTTGGCTAAGTTTCGGAAAAAAGCGCATGGTCCATCCTTTTTGTTTGGAGGTCTGCGCCAGATGGTGAACAGTTTTTTTTGGGGTGGCCAAAAGATCTGGAGATTGAATGAGATTGAGATGTTTGCTGAAAGGCATCAAACATCACGCAGAGTTCAAGATTGTAGAGTTGCAACCAACGCATATTATTCTCAAAACAGAGATGAAGATGAAGTCTTGTTTCCCACGGATCATCATTGGATGCTGGTAAATCATAGTCTCAGGACGGAGCGCCCGGAGGGCAGCAATGACATTGGCATGTTGGCCTGGAAGATGAGCATGAAGACCCCGGAGTATCCCCAGGGCCGTGATCTGATTTTGATCTCCAACGATGTGACCTTCCAAGCAGGTTCCTTCGGTGCCAAGGAGGACCCAACTCAGCAAGTTGAGGTTCTGCGATATTCCGCTACCGTCTTGCATACTTTATCCTTATCTTATGGTTTCCTGAAATGGCATGGGGGTACCTCTCAATCATCCATTTTAGTTTGGGATTTTCCATTATAAACCAACCATTTTGGGTATACCCATTTATGGAACCCCCCATATTCCTATTGTTGCGAGTCATTCACCTAATACTTCCTGCGGTTTTCACTCACCGTTCCCGGTCGTGATATGACACACAGTCCTTGCCCAGAATGTTCTGTTGTTTGTTGTTTGTTGCTTACGTCCAGAAACTCTCAGGATTTCATACATGCTACACACACATGGTTGATTGTTTTCCCCATGTTGACAGGTTCCTTTGTCCTCCAATGTTTGGATTTCAGAATTGGTTGGAAGGAAATCTACAGGATACCCACATTTGAAGGTAAGCACAATAGGGAACCCCGTATATTTGATGGAAAAACACAATGGTTTTCGAAGTTTCCAGTTAACATTTTCCCTTGAACCAATCTATTCTTCGACCAGGACCAGTTCTTCCAGAAAGCCTCGGAGTTTGCCCGTGTGCGCGGCCTGCCCCGCATCTATGTCTCCTGCAACAGCGGAGCACGCGTGGGTTTGGTGGAAGAGTTGAAGCCGCTCTTCAAGGTGCCTAAGAGGGTGAAGAAAAGGGGCTTGGCATGGCTGGGTTTGTGGGAAAATTTGGGGAAAAACTTCAATCCCAATCGATTCTGAGCAGTTTCCCCATCTGAAATCATTGAAATTTTGAAATTTTGGATTAATTGTACCTCATGTTCGCTGAGCTCTGAGAACTGGTAAGAAGAAACTTGAGGTGATGCTTGGATGAGATGGGCTTTGCCCCAAAGGAGTGGGATCAAATGAACCGGTTTATGAGGATAATATGATACGATAGAACATGATCTTTATAATGATATCTAACGCACATCACATACAACACTGAGACAACCATATACGGAGTATATAAGATGGACTGTAATGGAATTTACAATCGACAATATGATGCGGGTGTGTTTCAAACCGGGAGGTACCCCAAAACTATCAAAAATTGCTATTTCAATTGGGGAAATGCTGATTCTGATATAAACATGTCCTTTTTTTTGAGCGGAACGGATTTTTTGAACAGACCCAAACAAATATCATGGAACAATCTTAGCTCTGGAAGTGCGCCCCAGTAATTGGAATCCTTTGGTTCTCCCATCGAATTCTCTGACGACGGGGTACCCCAGGGATCTATCCGGGTGAACCTCGAGCAGTGATGGGTTTTCCACCCAGCAGGATAGCTACCCAGATGCCAAAAAGGATTCACGCAACATAGACTGGAATCACCAAGTACAGGGATTTGACCTTGGGATGATATATTGGTTTAGGCGATATGTACTTGAGATTGCATGTATAGGACCACCAACATTTTAAAGTGGAAAGTGTTTGTATTGCTTGGATCTCACTAACATGCTAAACGTTAAATAATGTCAACTCTCTCTAGCCATCTCTAACCTGAACCTGTTTTTATAATATCATTTTATATCTATCCATCCAGTAGCCAACAGATAGCTATTGAAAATGGTCGTTTAGTTCAATGATTTACTTGCAAAAACGTGTTTAGTGTCCACAATTTTTTGTATGTTTACTGGAGGGTAGCCATCACTAACCTGTTTTTTTATATATCCATCCACTAGCCATTTATAGTTGAATATAATATAGTCTATATAGTAGTTGATTTTCCCACCTATAAGGCTATAAACCTAGGAACATCAACTATATTCAACCTGACTTTTCCCACTATTTACAATAAATATGGTTGATAAACCCATCCACTAGCCATTACATGACATTTTTTATCCATTGAAAATAGTTGATATTCCCAGCTAGAAAATGCAATGTTTACATCGATTTCGTCCAGGGGAGAAAATCTCGCCATCGACAGCAGAGCCCCAGGTGAAGTGGTTGGACCCTGCGGACTGCAACAAGGGCTTCGAGTACCTCTACCTCTTGAAGCAGGAGCCGCCGGCCTTTTTTGGACCGACAAAGATATGACCAACAACACATGAAACACCAAAAACGATACCAGAAATCATATATACATAATATATATATATATACATAATATATATATATACATAATATATATATATATATATACATAATATAATATTATCTCATATATCTCTTTATATTACTATATATATTACATAATATATATACATATACATAATATATACTAATATATATATATATATATATATACATTATATATATATACATAATATATATATATATACATTATATATATATACATATATATATACACATGAAATCACATTTAATATATGAAATCATATATGTATACCTTCTCTTGGTGTGTTTCGCTACGCATCCCTTTGGGATCGAGGACTATGAGAAGCTTCCGGCCGGCACCGTGGAGGCCCACAAGGTCTCGGAGGCCGGGGAGGAGCGCTACGTCTTGGATGCCATCATCGGTGAGGCAACATGGTCGGGGTCGGGGTCGGGGCTGGGTGGTTGAAAGTGATAGGTTTATGGTACTTGGTGGCTCATCCCACTTAGTAAGTGGGTTATAACCCCAATTCTAAGTGGACTAACCCTACTTATCCCATTTATAACTGGGGTTATAACCCACTTACTAAGTGGGATGAGCCACCAAGTAGGACTCTGACAGACCTGGTAGGTTGACGGTTAGGTCATGGCAGGTCAAGCCAAGCTGATTGATGCGGAAACTCTCCGGAAAAATTCAGGATTGGTAGATGGATTTTCCATAGCTAATGTCACTTTACTACAGGGTATATATTGATGGTTATATTTATCAATGATCAATTAATTATGTTTTTTTGCATTTGCGCTGCATGAAAGAGTCTCGCTCTTGCCGCAACATGCATAATTCTGGAAATGAGATGAATTTAGTACAGCAGAAGCACGAAATTAAATCTGGAGGTAGAAACTCATAGTCTGGCCTGTACGTAGAGAAAGCACGGATAGTTCCGATTTCCAAAGCCATGACTCTCAGCCAGTCAAGCAAAGTGGGATCCTGTGCAGTCTTCTCCTGGACATGTCCGCATCTCAAATCTCGCTCAACTTGATCAGTACCCGTGCAAGGCCTTGGAAAAGTAGCGGATTTGATTCCAAAAAGATGGGCACATATGGGCACAAAAATCATCCAAAGACAGCCCACATTTCCGGCTGTCTCACCCGATTTTCAACCGAAAATCCATGGTCAGGGCATAAGAGCACCCAGGGTGGCATCGGTGTGGAGAATCTCCAGGGTAGTGGTCTCATTGCCGGAGAGACCAGCAGGGCCTACCAGGCGAGGTTGTAGGGTCCCAGTGGCGGAGGTCTTGGGAAGTCGGGTTTCCAGCCTTGAGAAACTCAGAGAACATATTTTGATTTAGAACATTTTGATGGAATTTTGGTGGATATATGTGGATATGTTTAGCGTTAAAAGAGTTAGTTAGCTGTAGCATGCTGTAGCTAGGTGATGATCATGAGCAGCATTATTTGCTCTTAGCATCTTGATCATAGTTGCTTTGTAGTTATGTGATGTTATGTGATAAAACTAAATCCAAAATCCAAATTGATAACATAACTGCAATATTTTCCATGTGGCCAAAATGACATGAAACCCGTTCTCTACCGTTTTTGAATCTGTTGAAAACTTCCAACAAACATGTGCATAATTTACTGTACATAATATATATATATATATATATATATATTAATATTAATATGTAGACATGCATGCATGCATGCACGCATGCATGCATCCATACATACATACGTAGATTCAGAGATACATAGATACGTAGATACAAAGATACAAAGATACAAAGATACATACATACATACATACATACATAAATACATACATACATACATGCATACATACATGCATACATACATGCATACATACATGCATGCATACATGCATACATGCATGCATACATGCATGCATACATGCAAACATGCATACATGCATACATGCATACATGCATACATGCATACATACATACATGCATACATACATGCATACATACATGCATGCATACGTGCATGCATACATGCATACATGCATGCATACATGCATGCATACTTGCATACATGCATACATGCATACATGCATACATGCATACCTGCATACGTACGTACGTACGTACGTACGTACAAACGTACAAACGTATTTTATGATTTTTTGTCATTCTAAATGTGTAATAACCTCTGCACGCAGCGTACTAAATCAGGGTCAAATATAGGGTTGACATAATGGAGGACACCTTCACGCTGTCCTACATTACTGGTCGCTCCGTGGGCATCGGTGCCTACTTGAACCGCTTGGGTCAGCGTAACATCCAGATGGTGACTAGGCAGTGAATAGCTGGTAATTGAACAGTTTGCTTTGGAACATTGCAATTTATAGATGATTTACAGTACCTATATTTGGTGACTTTCAATAGCTCTGTTAAATTACACGAGGGTAGGCAGTGAAACAGCCAACAGAAACTAAGAATATTTGGCTGAAAAATAACTACATCACTGACATCACCATAGATTAATCATAGTTAGTAAACGGGGAATTGTCCAAAAAGAAGGTGTGGCAGCACTTTTCGAGCTGGTGAATTCTTGTAATTCAGCGATTTATACAACGACTGGGAAGATTGACTCTGCAAATATAGTCACAGTACTCGGAAAATCTCATTGGGTGTTGCTTTAAATACCAACAACTGCAAAGGATCTCTGGGTTATGGTTTCAGAAGTTTTTTTTTAAACATTGAACTAGACAAGAGTTGATGTCATAGTTTTTGGAGTCTGTGGTTCAAACTCACATAAGTTTATCTGAGTTTATCTAAAAGCAGAGAAATCCGGTGGTGGCTTCGCAGGAGGCAGGAAGTTCCCCTTTTTAAGGTGAAACTTCTTGTTTAGCCACAAACCAAGCTAATGCGTATATAACTTGTTTTTCAGGTGGCCGGCCATGCCAGGGACATCAATGGATGAAATGAACCATACCTCCAGAACTGGTTGGGAAAGCCACCAAATTACAATGAAACAATCTTATTGATGCACTGTGCCACGAGAGGGGTTTGTCGCAAAAAAATAGGGCACACCCAAAATCTAATGGTTTATTTTGTGGTTTGTTTATGTTTTTATTTTTGTATGAACATGGTTTATTTCTATAGTTGATCATATGTTTGGTTGATCATTCACATATTCTCCTTTTCGTTCTTCGGAACACTGCCATTCTCTGAGCCCATTCTGAACAAAACCGGTTCTTTTTCCGGTTCGAAAAAAAGCGGTCGTCTCGTGAGGTGAGCAGCCCCATGATCTTGACCGGCTATGGAGCCTTGAACAAGCTGCTGGGGAAGTGGCTCGACCTTGCTCGGCTGCAGACGAGTCACCAGCTGTGTCGTTTTTTTCCAGAACTCGGGGGTTTAGAGGAAATTCTGGGTGAACATGAGGAATTTCTTAGTGAAAATGATGAAAAAGTATTTTGTTAGAAGAGGAATTTCAAAATTTTGGATTGGAAATGATGAGTTTGGAAATCTTGATTGCACATTTTGTGAATGCATGTGATTCTAAACCCACGGGAAAAAGGCAAGGAAAAGGTCAGATTGGGTAGGATCTTGCTGTAAATCTTTTGGACCTTGCGGACATGCTGTTTCCAGGCCCCGCCCAAAATCACATCTCCCAGTGTTTGTTGTTTGGCCATCACCCCGTGAACTGTTTCCAGGAACGTCTACTCCTCGCAAGATCAGTTGGGTGGTCCTCAGATCATGGTTCCCAATGGTGTCACCCATCAAGTGGTGCGAGATGACCAGGAGGGCATGTCTGCAATCCTCGACTGGTTGAGCTTCGTGCCCAAAGATATCTCCTGCCCACCTCCCATGTCCCAATTGGCTGCTGACCCTTGGGACCGCGACGTGGAATTTGAGCCTTCTCCTTACCCATACGACCCACGTGACTTCTTGCGCGGTGTCATTGATTATGAAGGCCGTAGACTCCGGGGCTTCTTTGATGCCGGCTCTTGGAGCGAGTACCTACGCCATGATTGGCAAGAGTTGTGATTTCACCTTCAATGTTGGTCAATTTTGCTGATGCTGTTTGGATTATCCTTCCACTTTTCACTTAGAGACTTGGATTTTTCCAGAGTTGCTGGTTCACCACGGTGAGCGATCCTCAATATTTCCTGGATTTTCATGAAAGGAACACAAAAATCAACAAAATATTTCATTGCTAGGATCTGCTTTCCAGCCCCTGGTAATTTAACACTGGAAAATCACCGTTCTTTAATAGATAAATCATCATCAATCATCAAACGTCTTTCCCTCCGGCCGATTGTCCGTACAGGTAACTAATAAGACTCATCCAACTGAGCTCACGACATGCCCATCCTTGTTTGAAACTGAAACTGCATGTTTATAATAGTTTATAATTACAAATCAAAGCCCATAAAGCCCAGCTAGACGGACTCCAATGGAGATTCCATATGTGTCCATAACGAACTAATTGAAAGATCCAGGGCCACTTCAGCCCAGGTATTTGGAGGGCTGGGGTCAGACCGTCATCGTGGGCCGCGCTCGGCTGGGTGGTATCCCCATGGGCGTCATCGCGGTGGAGACCCGTGGCGTGGAACGTTTCGTCCCTGCGGACCCGTCCAACCCCGAAAGCCGGGAGATGAAGGAAACCATGGGCGGCAAGGCGGGGGAAGGGATGGATTTTGGCGACTTCACGGTACTTCCAAAAGTGGTAGGATGTTTACCTCGAATTTCAAGTTGAAGCCGGTTTTGAATCATGCGAGTTGGTAGTATCCTGTTTTCAAACGGCGAGAATGGAGGATTCAAGACGAAGAAAAGTTGGAAGGATGGGCACGTAAGTTGAAACAGCAGCAAACACTTGGGATTTGAGCCTGATTTGAGCTATAGCGACGGGGATATCACTATGTAATGGGATAGTCAACCATCAAAAATGGTGGTTTAGAGTTTAGGGCGTGAAAATTA